TTGATAATTCGAACTTAATTCGTCCGCCGGTCGACATAGTGAGACAGGGTGGTACCATTTGGTAGAATTCATCTATTTGTTATATATCTGTTACTTTTAATCTGAACCACGGATATATATTACAATCAAATAAAAAATGTACAAATCATTTGGAAATAATTCACAGAAATAAAGACAAATTTCAAACATGAATTTCTTCAAAAGTTTTTATGCAATCAAGAAACATTTTTTTGCAATGCACCCATTAAACCATGTAAAAAAGAATTACCTTAATCTGAATCGCGGTAATAATTTGTGCTTGAAGTAAAAGGGCGTCAAAGTGTAGAGAGTATGCCTAAACAATAGGCGAATATTTTTTAAATAAGGTACTTTTTTAACTAAGCCTTGCATCGTTCTATCGGCTTATTTTAATATATTAATACATTAGCGACACAAAATAATACTGTATCGATACATTCATATGTATATATTTTTCACAAAGCTGCAATAACACCACATACTCTTGTGAAAATCAGTCATATTTCGCACTCCGCGCGTTCCGCCATCTCTCATTCTGTCCACCTTAATTATTTATCCTATGTGCGATTCCGCGCATGCGCGCGACGAGACTTTAAGCTAAACGGAAGTGTCCGATCCTTGTAATATAAAGCTTATTATTATCTTGTGGCGTCAAGATATTATCTCCTGTCTACGACTTATTATCTCGTAGCCACGACCTATTATCTCGTGGTCCCAAGATATTATCCCGTGGCCTCAAGTTATTACCTCGTGGCCACGACTTATGATCTCATGGTCACGACTTATTTACCTTGTGGCCTCAAGATATTATCTCGTGGCCGCGAGTTATTATCTTGTGGCCACGAGTTATTATAATGAGGCCACGGCTTTTTTCAGCCAATAAAAATGGTCGTTTCATCTTGAGCAAAAGTTAATATCACACTGGCCTTAGCTTTCACATGAGCTGCAGGTCAAACGCTGCGGCGGTGAAAAAGGGGAACTTTTTATAATTATTATAGTACCTCTTTTTTCTTTTTTGTATTGTCAGGTGTTTCTTTCATTCTTCTTTAGAGATATACTATGCTTTAATTTGATATTAGAAAATATTGATAATTGTTATGCAATCTCTTTGTAAACATAAAATGAACATGTTTGACATCACAGAAAGTAAATAATTAAGTTGTGTTTAAAATTCGACCCAATAAATGTGGTCACCATGAATATATATAATGTCAGTTTTATTTTAAGAAAGGTCATCTTTAATTGACATGTAATATATAGGGAACGCCGCTTCATGTACATAGCTAGTTTATTGATTCCTAAATTGAATCAAGTTAGACACATTAAGTTAAAATTTCGTAGATTTACATAAATTTCTGTGATTAAAATATTTTACTCAAGAATGAGTACAGTATATATATATATATATATATATATATATATATATATATATATATATATATATATATATATATATATATATATATATATATATTTATATCTTTAAAAGGTTTAATTAAGAAATTGAAGCGGTTGATGTATACTTCTAAGGTCGCAGGTTCAAATAACTTGCCCCCTTTCCCTGTGGATTCGAAGAGTCTTGTATATTGAAGATATATTACGATGTCACATTGATAAATGACTAAATTTGACGGGTTTTCTGAGTCTCTTTCGTTTTTATCAAAACTGACATAAACATGTTTAAAAGACATGTCAATTCTTTTAAGATCTACTCCTCTTTGATTTCTACTGCTACTGCTTGCCCATTTCACGTTTTATATGTTTGCTACTGCTTGCCAATTTCATGTTTTATAATTTTGCTACTGCTGTGCTACTGCTTCTGCCAATTTTATACGGAAACTTGATCCTTCAACGTTAGGACCATTTGATAAGAATACAGAGGGCCAATAAGGATGACCAGACTCTACTCAGTGGACGTGTTAATGTGATATATATATATATATACATGTGATATATACAGTTTATAGTGATATACTAGCTTATAAGCCCTTACTAAAATTAAGCATGTCTCAGGATAAATGTGTACGAAACAACTTGAAGTGAATTTATAGTGGTGCGTTTGACACGCCCCTCCTGTGAAAGTTATTGTCAAGTGTGATATTAACTTTTGTTTAAGATGAAACGACCAATTTCATTGGCTGAAATATGTCGTGGCCACGAGATAATAAGTTGTGGCCACAAGATAAGTCGTGGCCACAAAACAATAAGTCGTGGCCACGAGATATTATCTTCAGGCCACTAGATAATAAGGCGTGGGCACGAGATAATATTTTGAGGCCTCAAGATAATAAGTCGTGGCCACGAGATAATATTTTGAGGCCACTAGATAATAAGCCGTGCGCACGAGATAATATTTTGAGGCCTCAAGATAATAAGCCGTGACCAAGAGATAAAATAAAACTGCAAATGTCACCTCTATGCCACCGTGCTAAGGCCAGTAACTGCAGAACAGTTCGTCCTCAAAATCATTCGAACGTAATGCAATTCGTACCAATATTTAAATGGACATATTCTAGGAAAGTCTTATCTTTAATAAGTGTACCAATCACTTTAATTTTACTTGCTATCCAATTTATTTTGCTTCGACCAGACGTTTCAATCTTTGTTGCAACAGACAAACATTTCAGAAATGGCATTACTTTGTGAATTTATGCATTAGGTTCTACTTTTTCACAAAAATATGCAACTTAATTATTAAAAAAACAACGAGCACATACCAAGAACATGGAGAAAAAAATGATCTGTGCTTCGGATATTAAACTGTAATAGAGAACGATTTTCAATGCTGATTGACTGTTCACATCATTTGGCTGCGTCTTTGATGTGCAGCATCAACATTTAACTTGTATAGTAATAATTTATGGTGAAATTGAAGTCAAAGACAACGAAACTGTTTACATTAAATAATCCAGTGTTTCACTTTGCCCCAATACAGATCTATACTAGTTATTTCTTGCATGTAAATATGTTTGCCAATGTATTTGTTTCGCCTTTTTTGCGATTTCCTGAGAAAGCTCTTTTAGCCATGCCATCAAACGTTCTTCACACATAGCCATTAGAAGTATCAAAATATCACAGTTGTCTGTGGAAGGAAAACAAATTGTTGATCTTCGTTTGAAAAAAAAATGTTTGAAGCAATTTGAAACAAATAAACTGGAAATAATGGACTCTATGTTTGAGGTAACATTTTGTCAGGTTACCTGCCGGCTATATGGACACCAGGTTTGTTCTCGAAATCGTGAAAATTACCAACGCAGTAATGCTTTTCAAGAACCCCATCCCTCTCAAAATTTTGAAAACTCGCTCCCCCCCCCCCAATGACTGGCATTTTGAATGGTCACGAGGTGACCACCTATGCGTAGCGTTAATTAAGAGCGATTTCATTCAGGCTGACTTTGCCCAAGTCTCCCTAATAACTTGGTTAATATATAATTAACAAGCAATTATCATAGTATTGCAAGCAATCCATAAGTCCCCTACCGGTTAGAACCCCAGCAACATTCTGAAGGGCCATTGGCCATTCACTTATGTTTCTATTTTAAGTAAATTGGTGAAAAAGTTCTTTAAAAGTGATCACAGGAAACAGTTTTTATGTACAGACAGACAGACGGACTGAAAGACACTCAAGTTATTTTTTAAACATCCCTGTTATCAAAATATAACATTTTTAAAAGCAAAATTTTTAAAAAGGAAAATAACTCTTGAAATAAAGATGCAAGATGTCATACATGATGTGAGTGTAACAAAGAACAATTAGTAATGAAGGTATAAATAATGAATGTTTATTTTGAATTTGAAGTAAATGAAAGTTAAAAGAACGAATAGGAAAAATTAAAAGTTTAAGGAGATAATTCTGGAAATATGGATGCTAGATTTTAAACCTTGTCATATTATTATGATGTGGGATTTTGAAGAAAATCCTATCATGATTGAAGAAGTTGGAGTAAAAATTACCAATTTCTCGAAAAAAAGTCTAAGTTCAAAAGGGGCATAATTCTGGAAATAGTCTTGCTAGAGTATTGAACTTTCTCACAAATGTTGAGTGATAATAAGAAACATTTATACATGTATGAAGTTTGAAGTAGATACATTCAGAAAAAAAGAAATTATTAAAAAAAAACAATATTTTTTTCATGAAAATTTTAAGTTCAAGGGAGGTAATTCTGATAAATTTTGTGCTAGAGTTGTAAACCTTGTCACATATGATGTGGTTGATGACTAGCAACTTATATTTAAAGTTTGAAGAAAATACCTTAAGAAATAAAGAACTTATAGTGAAAAAACTTAAAAACTAGAATCAGAAATCTTGAAATTCAGTCTATTTATTGCCATAGCAACCAGAATTTTCAGCATAGGAAAAAGAGAAAAAGACGTGCATAATCTCCATACTGCCATCTATCCATATATCAAGTTTTATAAAAATATTTTCAGTACTTTTTGTGTTATCGCGGGATCCAGGTTATGTGTAAAATTTGCCATATTTTCAGTCTATTTGTTGCCATAGCAACCAGAATTTTCAACATAGGAAGAAAAGAAAAAGACGTGCATAATCTCCATACTGCCATCTATCCATATATCATATCCATATATCAAGTTTCATTAAAATATTTTCAGTACTTCTTGCGTTATCGCGGGATCCAGTTTTGTGGATGGACGGACGGACAGAGGGTAAACCTAAAGTCCCCTCCGGTAAACCGGTAGGGGACAATAATAAGCTGTAACCAGTTTATCGCTCTAATGGTACACACCTACAGACTAACTTCGTTACCCTGGGATTAGATAGTAAAAACTCATTTTGCACAGTTTGGGATAACATCTATTGAACATTGACAAAAGAATTCATTTCAACTGGCGAATAATCTATTTTAATAGATTTTCATATTTTATTATACAACGTATTCTCCCTTTGCTGTATATACAAACGAGTCTGTAACGAAGGACAAGTGGTACGGTTTAGTAAATTTTCATGATCAACAACAACATTGCATGTATACATTTATTTTTTCATGGTAATCATGTGATACTGTTAGCCCATGTTATAAAAAAATAACACAGCTGTACACACAGCAGTCATTCTATAAACAAAACGATTTTATACATATTTTTCAATCATATATTCAACATTTATGCATATACAATCATAACTTGAAGTCTGTTTATTTTTAAACATATTTGGTTGTGCTTTTGTTCTTCAAAATGATTCGATTTTAGGACCTAAATAATTCATCAACGAAAAATTCAAGTTAGTTAAGATTGACAAACAGGTAGCATTGAATTCAATAAAATATATTTCTCATTTAAATGATTTTATTTTTTGAGATCTTAATATTGCAGGAGCAAAGATGAGTTTAAAAAGCTTTAAAAATACACATTTTTGAAAATGAAAATGTAGTATTTTTAGCAACTTGCCTGCAATAATTGCTACATATTGGATATAATATCATTGTTTCTTAAAATGTTTTAAAGAAATATTACATAAAGAAATAGTGATCTGACTAAATAGAACTATAACTGTCACTGTCCAAACCAAGCCACCCACACACATCATTTTACCAGGGTTAAAAGTCATCTTAAAACATGTAGGTGAAATCGGCCCTCCGTTAATAAGAGAAAAAGCATATATATATTAAGACTTCTGACCATGTCAAGACAACCACTGAGATGGGGCCATATATGCACAAATAAAACTTTAAAATCTATAAATCAACAATCTTTCAATTAGAGGAGACCTATTCGAAAAATATTTTATTAGATGCCTAATACAGAACCTCCTTTCTGAAAAGTCTAAATGATATGACAATTCTTTCTGGACCAACCCTTCTTAAAATTGTGACATACCTCTTTTAATGAAACCATATTTCTTTTCAAATATGCTTTTCTTTTCTTGTTTATTATTACATTTCACAACTATGATCCTTTCTTACAATTTATACTGTTATATATTATATGGATAAATTAAGTAAATCTATTCTTAAGTCAATGAAAACATGTCTGTTGTTATTCCATTTAACAGATGAACTTTTAACTTTAATCATTAATTTTCAAACGAAATGTAAGCTCTGGTTATTTTTATTATTTTTGTCAAAAATAAGATAAAGAGTTTAATACTGCTAATCTATAGATGACTTGAAACATTGAAACACTGTTAATCATACATCTAATTAACTAACTATAATTATAATACTAAATGACCCCAAGTGGGACCATTTTTTGACCCAAGACACAGGATTCATATAACTTTTGTAGACGAGAGGGAAGCAAAGTCCTCAGGAGGCTGATTTTTTCTTCTTCAAAACACTTGACCTCAAAAAGCAATTTCAAAAGGCATTACCAAGATTCAGAGATGAAAACCAGAAAAATAGGAATACTAAGAATTTAAGATGTATTAATTAAGCACTGTATACAGACTGACAAGGGGACAAGTGACTCCAGTATATCCCCTTCAAACTTTGTTTGCAGGGGTCAAATTTTACAAATACACTTATTTTCAAACAACATGAATATTAGACTGATTTTCACCAAACTAACCTCACATTCATATTATTCCAGTTTCACAATTATCTACCTGTACATTTCAAAATTTGTTGTAGTCCTTTATTCCCATAGTTTCAAATACTTTCAACAACGTCTAAAAACACTAGACATGTTTACTTTGGATCCAAGATTATCACATAAGGTTGAGAAAATTTTAAAATTCAGTCTTTTATCTGTCTTTTTGCGTGTAAAAACAAAGAGCATTACTCCTTCATGAAATATGTATGAAAACTTAAAACAAGTGTATGTTTTTGAGCACAGCTCTTTCCTCTTTCACATAGTTTCTGTTTATAAGTTTTGAATGAAAGAACTAACAAGTTATAACAATGCATCCCCCAGTATGTCACTGGACACAAGCACCATGTGTATTCCTTTTCTTGAAGTTTATTTTTCACACTACACACTGCTTCTAGCATGTCTTAGTTTTCTCATCATACGAGTCTGTGCTGAATACTTCTTTTGTTAAAACATATTTTGTTTTTCAAGAAAAAAAAAAGAAAAAAAATCTGGCACAAACACACTTGTCCTGGAATGAAAGCACTTTTGTAGTAGTGTATATATATATGTTTCATTGTTTTCATAACGCTTAAATCTTTGTTTCTTTTTCTTTCACTTCACTTTCTTTATGTTTTTGAACACTTTCCATAAAAGTTATTCACTAGTCTTATTTCCGTTATCCTTTGCTCTTTTGCAGTCTAAGGGAGGTAATACACTGTATAAATAACTGAATAAAGGGCAAGCACTCTTGTTATCTTCATTTATTGAATGACTGGGTATGACCGAATTAAAGAGAAGAAATGTGGGTAAATGATTTGAAGAAATTAAGCTATATATGATGAAAAAAGGAGAAAAACAATGAAGGTATGCAAAATGATACAAATCTAAGCTAAAATGATGCACAAATTCTATTTCCTTATAACATCCAATCAATGTACTTTCCATAACCCCATAATCTAAATGCATGTAAATGATGTGGGGGACAAGTATAATAAAGAAAAATATAAGATTGAAAGCTGTTTTACCACAGGAAGTTCTCTTTGAGGGAAAAAATCTACTCTCTTATTAACACTTTGTCCATGCTTGTTTATAAGTAAAAAAGTAATTTGAAAAACATGTCCAACAATTAACATCAACAATTTTCATGGTGAAGTCTTTGACAAAAAATAGAAATAAAAAGAAAAAGAACACTGAAGTCACATAGTACTACTACAACTAGTTTGCCTACACAAAAATATTCACTCTTCTCAAATAATTCCTTGTTGCTTGTCCACCTGAATCACCACTTAATTCTGTCGCTGTCTGCTTGCCTGAAACAAAAACAAACAATCAAATTCAGATAGAAAGGAAGTGCATGTTAACCTACCCATACGCTTTACATCATTTAGATACACCACATTATCCAAATATCATTATTATGAACCTCCCAGTTTGAACTGATATAAAGAGGTTTATAATATAACCTAGATACCCAACCTGGAAACCACGTCTATGGTAAAGTTCAATGTCACTGTAATTATAGCGCAAATACTGTATGATTCATCATTTTGTTCAATGTCACTGTAATTATAGCGCAAAAACTGTATGATTCATCACTTTGTCACGCACTTGTACTTTCTTGTGAAGCAATAAGTCTTGAACAGGGCACCAACATATTTACTGCGAGAATTCTTAGGGATAGGGATATTTTCTATTCCCATTGGCTATGAAGTAATTTAAAATTTTTGCCTTCCTAAAATATTTATTACTAGTTTACTACTTTCAATTTTCATCCAAGTTGTCCCCAAAAGCCTTTGTATTGTTTGAGTTTAATGACAGATGTATATTTTTGTAAGGCTACTATTAGTTCACATTCTGTTCATACCCAAGATGCACAGAATGTTTTCAAAATCATTTTTAACAAGAGCACTGCATGTGGTGTTAATGCTTATCTGTCAAAATAACCATTTTGGACAAAAAATAAGTTATAAAGGGGCATAAATACTCCTATAAAACACAACTTTGAACAAAATATAATTTACATACTATACATGTATTTGACCTTGATGGCCAAGGTCATCAGAAAGTCTAGGTCAAATTTGAATCAATCGTCACCTCAGTTTTGTTATTATATTAAGTGTCCTATTGTCCAACAAGAGCACCGCTAGGCGGAGCATTATATGCCCGAAAGTGTTTTTTTTTTTAGTAAAGATGAAGCATTTGTAAGACATGGGACTAAAATAAAGTATTACCTGCTTCAAATAACAATCCTCCTTTGAAGTTTCAATATTGTGGTCCAAATGGAACTTTAAGTTATGTCCCAGAAACTGTTTTCAATTCTAAGGTAAAAGTGACCTTGACCTTTGACCTTGTGACCCCAAAATCATTAGGGGTCTTTTACCCAATATGGACAATCATACTATGAAGTTTAAACACAGTAGGCCAAATGATACTTAAGTTATATTCCAAAAACTGTTTTCAGTTTTAAGGTAATAGTGACCTTGACCGTGTGACCCCAAAATCATTAGGGGTCTTTTACCCAATATGGACAATAATACTATGAAGTTTAAACACAGTAGGCCAAATGATACTTAAGTTATATTCCAAAAACTGTTTTCAGTTTTAAGGTAATAGTGACCTTGACCTTGTGACCCCAAAATCAATAGGGGTCTTCTACCCAATATGGACAATCATCCTATGAAGTTTGAATATTGTGGGCTAAATGGAACTTAAGTTATGCTCAAGAAACTGTTTTCAATTTCTAAGTAATAGTGACCTTGACCTTTGACCTTGTGACCCCAAAATCAATAGGGGTCTTCTACCCAATATGGAAAATAATCCCATGAAGTTTGAATATTGTGGGCCAAATGGAACTTAAGTAATGCACCGGAGACTGTATTTTTCTGTATTAAGGTAATAGTGACCTTGACCTTTGACCTTGTGACCCCAAAACAATAGGGGTCTTCTACCAAATATGGACAATCATCCCATGAAGTTTGAATATTGTGGGCCACATGGAACCTCAGTTATGCTCCGGAAACTGTTTTCAGTTTTAAGGTAATAAAGACCTTGACCTTTGACCCTATGATCCCAAAATCAATAGGGGTTTTCTACCCAAATGGACAATCATCCTATGAAGTTTGAAGATTGTGGGCCAAATGGAACTTAAGTTATGCTCCGAAAACCAAATTGCTAACGTTTTCAGTTTTAAGGTCATAGTGACCTTGACCTTTGACCGTATGACCCCAAAATCAATAGGGGTCTTCTACCCAATATGGACAATCATCCTATGAAGTTTGAATATTGTGGGCCAAATGGAACTTAAGTTATGCTCCAGAAACCAAATTCAGTTTTAAGGTAATAGTGACCTTTGACCTTGTGACCCCAAAATCAATAGGGGTCTTCTACCCAATATGGACAATCATCCTATGAAGTTTGAATATTGTGGGCCAAATGGAACTTAAGTTATGCTCCAGAAACCAAATTGCTAACGGACGGACGGACGCCAGGGGGTATAACATAATATGTCCGAAATTCTTTCGGGCATATAAAAATGAATCAAATCCATAAATATCAGTTAAATTAGAGGGTATAAAATTTCGTAGTTTGAATGTTGAGCATGAATCTCTTAGGAATGTGTTTTTGTGTATCTGTTATGGCATTGTGCTTTAAGTTTCAGCAGTGCGACATTATAAATAAATACTGTTATTGTTATGCCAAATACTTATGTGCTGTTTATGTCAATTGATGTGCTGATATAGTTACTGTGAATGATTAAAAATAATGAAAAAAGTCAGCAGCCTATGAGTTGTAAAGTTATTGCTCTGAAACAGTTTTTACCTTTAAGGTCAACATGACCTTGACCTTTGACTCAAAATCAATAGGGGTTACCAACTGGCCAAGTCCAATACACCTACCAAGTTTAAGGGCCGATAGCCCATGGGTTGTCAAGTTCTTGATCAGAAACCATTTTGACATGGAAAGTCAATTTGACCTAGAGTTGACCTTTGACCCCTTGACCCCAAAAATCAAAGGGTTCAACCAATGCACCTACGATGTTTGAGGGCCAAAGTTCCTAAGCCTAAACCTTCTTTAGTTATTGATCGGAAACCGTTTATACCTACAAGGTCAATGTGACCTTGACCTTTGACCCCAAAATCAATAGGGGTCATCTACAGGCCACGACAAATTACCATACTAAGTTTAAAGTTCCTAGGCCTAAGCGTTCTTAGGTTATTGATTGGAAACCATTTGGTCTATGGAAAGACAGGCAAATGTAAAGCAATATACCCCCACTTTTTTAAAGGGGGGCATAATTATGACAAACATTTGAGTTTTGCAGTTGGCACGGGCAATGGCTCAACAATAACAATGGCAGTTATTATTATGACTGTAGCAATAGAATTTTTTTCTTCGAAAAGTGGACCTAGTACAATTAGTTAATCTGACTCAGGGTTTGATGTGTAGTTTCTCAATAACATCAATAATTCAACAAAAAATTAATTATACATTGGTATCCATCTATATTCTATTGTTAGCTAGTTGCTTTCACACCTATTATTTAACTGATTGAGACTAGAACTTCTGAATTCCTAACAATTTTCTGGTAAAATTTGGTTTTTTTTTTTCAAAAAAAATTTACTTCCAAAATCCGGAAAAAAGAATGTGAAGGACTATTTCACTTGAGATTATAAAACATTCATGTGCATTTGTTATTTTATATTTTTTAAATTATGTTTAATAAAGCAATAACTGTATATCTTTTGTGGAAACAATCTACCTAGAAAGTTGGGTTATCTTTTATTTTAATTTGATGTTCATAATAAGTGTGTTCCCCAAATTGTCTCATGTGACCATCTTTTGCTAAGTTTATGGGGCCCCATAGAATTCAGTCTAGATTTAACACTGCAGTGTTTTTTCCTCTACTTTGGGAATGGTGCCGATGCTGGACAGATTGGGAAAAAATCAAGCGGTTTGACTCAAATTGGGAATTTTATATTAAATGCAAAATTTTTATTGGGAATTTCTTTTATCCAGGGAGACATGGAAATTTCGCATAATGTACACTTTAAAACCATGTATTATTAACTTTAATGATAATTTTTGCTACATAAAGTTTAAAAGAAGATAATCATAATAACAAATGTACTTAAATAATGTTTAGGTGTGAAACATTAAAAGTACGAATGAACTGGGTACGAAAATCACTTGTGTGGTTATACTTGGTTTTTATCGTATATCACTTATCAATATGGTTAAATTTGCAAATTTTTGAGGAAATTTTAGCATTATTTTGGGAATTTATCAGAACTTTATAAATTGGGAAATTTGCTGTCTATTTTCTATTGGAAATGTTGCCATTTTCCGGCATCAGTTATATAAGGAAAAAAATACACTGCACTTGGTACTATATTAAACAAGCTAAAGCACTAGAGTGTAACAATAACTTTATCCTATTGTGTAAACAAATCAGTTATAATACATGTTGATGATAATAAATAAACTCATTAACAATCATCAGATTCTGCTTTTTGTTCTCATTATGTCTTACTAAAACAGCTGATGTTTCACTACTTAATTCTGAACTTTTGAATTCCGGAACCTTCCAATTTCCAAAAACCCAACTTTTCACTAGTCCCAGAGGTATTTAGTCTACAAAACTTACAATATCATTGTTACAGTTATTTTCCAATGGTCTAATTAATGAAACAGTGAACTGTAGTCTATAATATAAAATCACTATGTTCAAGGCCTTCAGGCTACATAAAATACAAGTTAATTCAGGTTTAATACAACAAATCAGCTATTTAATATCCATTTTGTAACGGACTACCTACCGACTGAGACTTAGGCTTGGTAGGGGGACCCTGATCTTCCTCTTGACGCTTCTCATAGTGTCCAAAATCATCAAAAATTGATGTTGAGTGCTTATAGTTGTGCATTATTTTCAACACTTGCTTTCCCTTTTCTGGTGGCACTTCTTGTGTGTCACGTGAATTTGTTACTGGCTTGTTCTCATTATTTTCCAGACGGATGTGCCTCAGCTGACTATTTGGCACATCTTTCACATAGATCCATTTCACTTCAATTTGACCTTTCCACTTGTCTTGTGCCCACACACCAGCACTCTGACTATAGTCCACCATACTATTCATTTGGGCAACACCACAAAAGTGGCCAGAACCGTTCACACTGTACAATAAGTAAACAGGACCCTTTCCCTCTCGTTCCTTGAATGCAGCATCTAGTCTCTTATTTCCATGTTCTGTCGAACACCAAATGCTATACTTGATTGAACGATGAATGTCATCTTCAGAGTAACTCTTGATTATGAAATATCTAGCGCCCTTAGTATTGATTGCAAAGTCCTTTGGATTATACTGATTTGCTGATTTCAACTTTTCTAACACAGGATGAGCAGTGCCGTTTGCGCCACCAGTTGAGGGAGCACTAATATTAGACAGTCCAGCGTTTCCAGTAGAAGAACTAGGTGGTGGATTAGAGTTCCCAGAATTTCCAGCACTACTGTAATTTGTAGCAGAGCGTGTAGATCTTGGAGCACTCCAAGTCCTTGGCTGCTGGGGAGCAGGCTGCCTGCCACCACCAGCAGCAGAGTTCTTATTACTGTCCCATGTACCAATGTCCAAGTTGTTTTGCCTACTGGGATTCACTGGTGCACGAGGAATAGACCTCGGCTTCTGTGGCTGAGGGCGTGCTGGCTGACTTGCAATAGCAGCCCACGAGGTCTTTTTAGGTGCTTGAGATGAACCAGAATGCTGAACATTTCCAGTCTGCATTGAAGGATCTATGGATGCATGTTGAAGGTCATTTGGTGGAGCCCCTTCTATTTGATTTTCCATTCCAATGTTCATACCTTTCAAACCCTGCTCCATACTAGCTATTGCAGGATCACGCTCCATATCACCATTCATAGCAGAATATGGATCAGTTGGCACCATATTATCCATCCTATAATAGTCCTCTGTTGTATAACCCCTTGCATCCTTACGACCTTGACCTTGTGCTGTTGCATTTTGTCCCCAATATTCACTTGGTTGATATTCACCCCAAAACTGAGGATACCCGAAACCACTAAACATTCCATTATAGTCATATCCTCCCACTGCTGAAAACATTGACGTATCACCGCCATTCGACCATGCTCCATCACCAAGTCCTTGCCCAAGATAAGGAAATGACATAGAGGGGTTGTAATAGTTCGGCATAAAGGGATCAGTTATAGGACTTGACATTGTTCCTGGTCCGTAACCCTGAAATTTAAAAGCATTAAAATTGAATTCCTACCAAAATAACAAAACTCAGATTGCCTTGAAGACTTTTCAAAATAAAATTGATACATTTTGTTTATCCTAAAATCGGGAACATCTTAAATAACTGTATTGTATATGAACCATTTAAAAAAATTCTTAAGAGAAAAAAATGGATTTTTAGCTTCAAATGAGTAATTTCTTTTTCTAAGGGTTATTTTGGCAAGGTTAATGATTTATGTGCTTTTGATAAACAAGATCCAAGATGGCCCTAGTTTGCTCACCTGACCTATCGAACTCATCCGAACAATTACCTAGACAAGCATCCCGACCAAGTTTGATGATAATTGAGTCAAAAATGTGACCACTAGAGTGTTAACATGGTTTTTCCATATTTGGGCAGTGTAACCTAGTTTTTGACCCCAGGTGACCCATATTCGAACTTGACCTAGAAATCATCATAACAAACTTTCAGACCAATTTCCAGGACATTTGGATCAAAACAGTAGCCACTTGAGTGTTAGCATTATTTTTCTATTTTTAGCTCCTGTGACCTAGTTTTTCATCCGAGATGACCCATGTTGGAACTCATCTGAGCTATTACCTAGACAAGCATCCTGACAAAGTTTGATGATGATTGAGGCAAAAATGTGACCACTAGAGTGTTATCAAGGTTTTTCTATTTTTAGCTTCTGTGACCTAGTTTTTTCATCCGAGATGACCCATGTTGGAACTCATACAAGCTATTACATAGATAGGCATCCTGACAAAGTTTGATGATGATTGAGGCAAAAATGTGACCGCTAGAGTGTTAACGAACAAGTGTGGACGGACGACGGACATTCAACAATCCTAAAAGCTCACCCTGAGCTAGCTCAGATGAGCTAAAAAATAACAAGGGTGCCATAGTCACAAAATACGCCCGTTTACGAAAGCTTTAGATGGAGATGGGGGCATTATGGATAAGTGTTATCTAGCAAGCAAGTTTTTATTCTTGGCACAGTGTTGTTAAATGAACCTTAAAACAAATCAGTAGGGAAGATATGCACAGGATGTGTGACCTTGACCTTGGTCGCAGGGACCTGAATTTTATGTACGGCACTCAGCCTCACAATGATGAACATTTGTGCCAAATTATATTGAAATCCCTCTATGCATGTAGAAGTTTTGCTCCAGACAAGCATTTTTCTATGAGCTCTAACTGTGACCTTCACCTTTGACCTAGAGACTTGGTTCATGTGCAGGGCACTACGTCTCATGGTGGTGAACAATTCTATAAAGTAACATTAAAATTCCTCCATGCATGTAGAAAATATGCTCCGGACAACATCTGGATATTTAATCATCTCTAGTGACCTTGACCTTGCAAATATTAACCTAAATTAAATGTGTCACACCTGTAGTCATGATAGTTACCATTTGTGCTACAATCCATCAATAAATGATGACTAAATGGTCCCTATACACATCTTCAAATTTTTATCTGAACTTTGACCTCTATGTGTAACCTTGACTTTGGTCGCAGGGATCTGAATTTTGCGTGCGACACTCAGCCTCACAATGGTGAACATTTGTGCCAAGTTATATTGAAATCCCTCTATGAATGTAGAAGTTTTGCTCCAAAGGCGTTTTTCAATGAGCTCTAAGTGTGACCTTGACCTTGAGACCTGGATCATGCATGGAGCAATACATATCATGGTGGTGAACATTTCCATAAAGTATTATAAAAATTCTTCCATACATGTAGGAGATATGCTCCAGACAAAATCTGGATATTTCACCATCTTTAGTGACCTTGACCTTGCATATATTGACCTAAAGTACATGTGTCACAGCCGTAGTCATGATAATGACCATTTGTGTTACAATCCCTCAATAAATGATGATTAAATCGTCCCTATACACATCTTCATATTTTTATCTAAACTTTGACCTCTATGTGTGACCTTGACCTTGGCTGCAGGGACCTGAATTTTGTGCGCGACACTCCGCCTCACAATGGTGAACATTTGTGCCAAGTTATATTGAAATCCCTCTATGCATGTGGAAGTTTTGCTCCGGACAAGCGTTTTTCAATGAGCTCTAAGTGTGACCTTGACCTTTGACCTAGTTCATGTGCGTGACATGGCTTCTCATAATGGTGAACATTTCTATGAAATTTCATTAAAATCCCTCCATGCGTGTAGGAGATATGCTCCGGACAAAATCTGGATATTTCATCATCTTTAGTGACCTTGACCTTGTATATATTGACCTAAATTATATGTATCACAGCCATAGTCTTGATAATGACCATTTGTGTTACAATCCCTCAATAAATGATGAATAAATGGTCCATATACACATCTTCATATTTTTATCTGAACTTTGACCTCTATGTGTGACCTTGACCTTGGCCGCAAGGACCTGAATCTTGCGCGCGACACTCCGCCTTTCAATGGTGAACATTTGTGCCAAGTAATATTGAAATCCCTCTATACATGTGGAAGTTTTGCTCCGGACAAGCATTTTTCAATGAGCTCTAAGTGTGACCTTGACCTTTGACCTAGAGACCTGGTTCATGTGCGCGACACTGCTCCTCATAGTGGTGAACATTTCTATGAAGTTTCATTAAAATCCCTCCATACATGTAGGAGATATGCTCCGGACAAAATTGGACGCCGCCCGCCCATACGCCCGACCGCTAGGGGCGTTCCCATAATACGTCCCGTTTTTCAAACGGGCGTATAAAAATCATTTAAGGACCATAACTGACAAAAATCATTGAACTTGAAATTGCCAACAACATGCATAACTACAGTTGGTATTAATCAATCTGGGACTGTAAAGTTTGGATAAAATTACACGAGTAGTTTGTGAGGAATAGTCCGGACAACTTTTCTGACGGACAGACAGAAGGAAGGACAAAGAAGTGATCCCTATGTTGCCGCAACTCTGTAAAATCAGGTGTATGATTTTAACTTTGCCAATCTTTTTTAAGCATGCTGTTCTGCGCAACAACTGAGCATTTCAATGCATAGATTTTTTTGTGATATAACAATCTTCACTGTAATTTGTAAACATGCTTCTTTTACTCTTAATTTTGTTGTAGTAAAACATGACAATGCTATTCAATACTTGGCACAAGGCTTTTATTCCCCAAGGGTTGATTTTTGACTCCTACAAATGAATGATAATATTGAAATGTCAATTTTATAGAACTTTTCAAATAAAACATATTTTTCTTGTACTGGAATTATTTTTCAAAAGCTTCTCATCCTACCTTTTACTCGCCAAAATCCTAAATTTACTGATCAATAGGTGCAAACAAGTTGATTTTTAATGTCAATTCTATAACATTTCTGGCAGGCAAGACTAAAAGCTCAACGACTTTGGTACAAGTAATTACCAGACAGGTAGAAAATCGATCAGACGGTCTAAAATTTTCCTAAGACAGATCTGTATCTTACCCATTGCATGTGCAATATTTCAAATTAAAAGTTACGAATAGACGACAGAAAAGCATATATCTAGATATATCAAAGACTATATATATGTCAACACATTTTACTGTTAGAAAATCTTAAACAATATTTTCAAAGTCTTAAACCTGAATAGGTGGTTGTTGTTGCTGTTGTTGTTGCTGCTGCTGAAGGTATGGATCAAATTCTTCATCTTTTACCCCATCTTTGATTGTGCCATTCGATACTTAAGTAAAAACAAAATGAATTGATAAGCAAGTTATAGACATTCCTTACTTAACATGCAATTATTAACTATGAGACTTAAGATCCTGTTTATTCAGGATTAATAAAACTGATAAAATATGTAAATGAGCTATTACAGCTTTTTATTTTTAATAATATATAGTTGACAGTCAATGAACAAAAGTTTCACGAGCAAAACTGTAAAAAGTCAATTTAAGCAACAGTGAAGTGACCAAAGTGACTCATTACTATACACAAGTTGAAAGACCCCTCTGTTCCTACCAATATGAAAGACATCAGCCACTGATAAAACCATTTCCCCTTCACTTACACATTACTACCGGCTACCCTCTGAAAAGCTCTTTTGCAGTGTCTATTCTAGGAATTGAAAAATAGGGGTGATTTTCCCCCCTCTATTTCAAAAAAGGGGGCGATTTTCAAAATCAAAGGGTGCCAATATAAACTGCCAATGTTAAATCGTCTGCATTAAGTTTACACTGAGGCGTTCAACCGATGAAATAATTAAAACGATAATATTTATTTAAGGCAGCAGAAGTTGTCCCCCCTGAATTTTTAAACGAAAACAAATTATTACAGAACTGCCCCGATTGATTATAAAGGGATTGGCAATACAAATAATCGAACTATCTTCCACGTCTAGATCGTAGCCAAGCTAGGAATTGCCTCATTTTTCTTGATTATTTACTACACTTAAATGGCGCCCAACTGTCAGACCTAGCACACTAGTTCCGGTCGATACGGAACATTCCGTTAATTTCCGTCAACTCACGTAACCAGTACCATACGGTACTAAATTATTATAATTAGCTTACAGTTACCTCCCTTCAGTTTTCGGTGTAAATGTAAACAAAACAACCAAATATAATGCGGGATGGAAGTTTTACGGTTTTATTAACTTTTTTTATAGATGCGCGATTTTCACGCACATGATTTTGAATTGTGCGCGATCTGTTAAATACTAGCGTGAATCGCGCAATCGCGCGTCCTAGAATAGACACTGCTTTTGCATGTAAAACAAAAGCCCTTCAAATGACAGGGCGGACAAAACCCTCCCATGAAAGTAACGAGGCAGACAAAAGCCCTCCAGTAGCAAAAATATATATGTATGTTAATTGCTGTCATTTTCAAGGAAGAGCTTTTGTCCACCCTGTCATTTTCACGGGATGGCTTTTGTCCATTTCCGATAGATAGACATATATATGCCTTTCTCAAATTCGGATATGATTTTTTAATTACTTATTGTAAATTGTATCTTAAATACAATAGTTGTATTTGTTCTTCTCATTAAATCATATCATGAAATTGATATCATTACAGGGTTCTCAGTGACGTATGATCCAGCGTCCTGATATGCATGTTTATTGCTGCTGAATGCGTAGATTTCACAGCCAGGTTTCTGCATATATCATTTGCTTAAATTTGTCCGGACGCATTAACAAAATTGAATAAATAAACTAAGTAGGGTGATACGATATGCCAGATCAATGACAATAACTTAATCAAATGACTTGGTCCATGCAATTGTAAGCTGAGCATTTTTTTCATAAAATCAGCCGTTTTTTTCTTAGGATTAAATTTGAAAGACCCAGTTATGAATGAGGCATTACCTTAAATAATTCTATAAATATTTAAATACTGACAAAGCAATTGAAATAAATGGGAAATGTCTGTACTTTAAGGGGAGATTAAAATGTTACAGTGATGACTGCAAGTTTACAGGTCACGATACGTTTCGCATTATAAAAACATACACACCTTGGTTTGGCTGACCTTTGCCTCTCTGTAAGTGTGACATCATATGAAATGGAAAAAAATAATGTATAGAAGTTAACAAAATAAAGAATCGATAGATAAACTATCGACAAGGATATAAAATTCACATCGTTTTGAATAACATCAATCACGCCTGTCCGCCATCTTTTTCATGTTACCTGATCAACACTCGTAGACATTCCACAGAGATTTTTGACACGCTTAGTCAAACCTTAATTAAAATATAGTCTTTAAAGTTTGTATGGGGTGTTTATTTTTAAGAGTACAGCAGTCGTATGATGTTTGATTGTTTATATAGGCACAAAACTACACTTTAACTCCAAATATCTCCTTCCTCGATCGTGTAACAATGGCGGCGAGTACGCATGTGCCTCGCTCCCGCGGACTACCACGTGACATCCGTGTTGACGTCAGCAAAAACACCGAATTGATAAAACTAACACGGATGAGTATGTACGTGTAAAGGAAATCGAGTAGGGACCGGACCTTACGGACCGTGGATAAGCCACCAGTCATGCCCATAAAGGGTAAATTTTGTACTATTAAGTGGTGATAAAGTTAAAATGACATTATGCTCATATTTTCATAGTCAAGTTGTGCTGAACTGACTATTAGAACTATATCACAGACACTTGGGGTTTGGAGCTCAAAACGCCTTTAAAATCCAAATAAAATGCATATTTGTCAATCCCAGCACATGTACTGATCATATATATATAAAAAAAACTTATATAAGCTGTTTTGAAAAAAAAATCATATTTCAACATCTACAAAAATGTATAATAATATAGATGTTTAAATATGATTTTTTTTCAAAACGGCTTATATTAAGTTTTTTTGATATATATGATCAGTACATGTGCTGGGATTGACAAATATGCATTTTATTTGGATTTTAAAGGCGTTTTGAGCTCCAAACCCCAAGTGTCTGTGATCTATATTTCAAAATATTGACTGTTAAAATGGTGATTGACCAACAGTTCATGTTGGAAAATGTTTGTGATAAATTTTAAAATCTGCTTAAAATATAAAAAGACTGCCCACTCTTTTTATGAAATGAACGTTACAGGTAAATTGAGCCAAAAGTAGGTCAATGAGAATGTAAATGTTCAATAACCCGAACATAATTAATAGGGGGGGAGGGGAGGGGGGCTGTTATACCAGCAACAAATGCCTGCCTTTCTGACGCACCCTAGCGCACCTTCCTCGTCATCCCTGCCGCATAATTATATGGGTCAGTTCCCTCTGCTTTAGTCAGGACACCGGCAACTTACTTCATACAAACTAAGTCGTGTCGCCCGTGCTGTAATTAAAGAGCATGCAAGTGATTTGGGGCCATTCATTCACAGCAATTTTACGCGCGCATTTTGTCTCCATTTATGCTACTTAATATGCTTTTTACACATTTGGATATGATTTATATACTTTATTAATTAACCGATGACTAGCTAGGTATTTTCGGTTATCCTCTAACTGGCTGGAGTTAGGGATTACCGGAGTCCAGGTCACTGGTGCATTTTTTCTTACACTTTTGCTCTTACAACGTTTAATAACCTTTCTTGCATTAAATACATTTGGTTCGGAGAGTATCCATAGCCTATACCGATACCTTTGTGTAGTATAGTTCTCAAAGTTAAAAAAGAATTGTTTCTTTCTTCACTCTACACGTTATTGTTGGCGTAACATCTACATGTTATCTACAATTTTAGCTAAGTAATGCTATATTTAATAACAAATATATGGTACCCATTATTTTAAAAGTCTAATAAAGTCAAAACAACGCGGTAAAAGTATTTAATTTTGACAAGATCAACTAATATTCTTTTGAGACCCTCATTATGATAAATTTAAGGGATATTTTGAATTTGGCTTTTTAAGTTGGAAATTGGTCAAACACATAGGGAAACATTTTATACATAAACCGTACGGTAAATCTTGTTAAAACTTTATATATACATGTATAAGTGTCCTTTAAGGCATATAACTATAATATATTGTCATATTTTCAGTCCTTCAGAGTTATCGTACCGTACCAAGCGCACGTCTTGTCGGCAGTCGGTAGAGCATGTTGAAATACCTCTTAAATTATATCTGAGGGTCGTGGGTTCGAGTACCCCGTTGGGCGCATATCTTTTATTTGAATATATTGCTGCATTCTCCAGATTTAAAAAAACATGTATTTTATAGCATATCCAATATAACGCGTTTTTTGGACGAGGAATTGGGATCTGCAATTCAAACATAAAAATCTTAAATATAAATAAGTATTAAATACAGTAACTGTTGTAACAACTTTATTACTTATAAATATAATCAAATGGTGAATTATTATTTTGCAATACATTTTATAACATTTTATAATAGTACCGTAATTGCATGAAATGGTTATTGTTTATTTTTTGATAATACTAAATGAAACACAAAAAGCTTACCACAAGTTTGTGACATTAATTAAAACATTGGGTAAGTAATAAGTAAATCTATAAATTGACTAAGAAAATATAACCTTTTCCATATGATTGAATCCTACTTACAAACAGCAATCTTTCCTGACAAGTTACAATGGAAACGAACAGTTTTTAACGCTATACGCAAATATCATACACAGCATTGGTCAGAAAGAATGAATAGCGATGATGATTTTGTACGCTTTAAAACTTTACATACCGATATAAGCCCATCAATATTATGGAGAAATTCCGACTCTTTAAACTCAATAAAACATGCATTATGTACTGCTAAAGTTCTTGTTGAGGCAAAGCAAAGTGATGTAAAAACATGCAAGAAGTGTGGTTATCAAACAAGTGACCTAAATCTCCATGTAATATCAAAATTTATTATATACTTACAAATGAAATATTGAGAAATATTGATGAAATAAAATGCGTATTTTCATTTTCCGTATTTTCATTGTAAAAATTTATTTTTCACTGCAGTGAAACATATTTTCCGTATTTTCACTGGTGTCTTGCCGGACTACTTTCTTTTAAATTCTGCCAGGACACAAAATTTAAGGGAAAGTCTTTCAAACTGTGATGTCAAAAAAAAGAGAAAAATGTAACTATAAAAATAAACAGAAAATTCAAGGTTTTTTTTCTATTTATGCAGGATTTATTTACATCTTGTGTCATGAAATTATCATATTTCACTCGTGGCTACCGCCACTCATGAAATATTTATTTTCATACCACTCGATGAAAATAAATCATGTATTTATAGACAAAACATGAATATCCTCTATGTATTTCACTTAAAAAGACTCGAACAACTTTCCTTAATAGTGTTGAAAAACAATATAGTTGTGAACTCAGTAACTTCCTGAAAGGATGTAACAGCGAGACGTTTTTAAGAACTATTTTAAATCCTCGTGCCTTGGATATATATGACATAGCTGAACTTCTCCAAAAAGACTTCATACAAAGTGCTTGTAAGTTTATATACGATTGTTTAGTTTTTAATAACTAAACGTTTTATTTAAATAAATACAAGTACTTCAAACTTCAAATGACAGAAAATATTTAAGCGGTATTACCTAACTTACATAGCTTATATTTCGTTTCGGTAAGATGTGTGATACTAGGTTGAATACTGAGGCATTTTAACCATATATAATTACATTGCATTATCAGTATGATAACTCAAATGAAATTTAAACATGAAATATGTATAAAACAATTATATAAATGTGTTTTTTATTGTTACGCTTAAATACTTATTGCTCTAAGATAACCTTTGATGTAATGCTAATATAATCATATAGAAATATAATCATATAGAAGCTTATACAAGTATATGAAACCATTTAACTTGAACTTAATTATTATCTCTCTTTAATAATATATAAATGTACATTTGTCATAATCATGTATCATATGTTTGTATATATATTTCATGTTGTATATGTTGTAATCGCTGAAAAGCGGAAATAAAGAGTATATATAAAAGCTTACCACAAGTTTGTGACATTAATTAAAACATTGGGTAAGTAATAAGTAAATCTATAAATTGACTTGTTTGGCAGTAAGATACGAGTATGTTGGTCAATGCATACCATAGCAGAAAATCAGTTCTTCGCACTCTAATAATGAAACCAACTATCCTAACAAACGGTCACTTTTATATTTATTTAATTGTTCAGCTTGATACACAATGACAATACTAGAAATATGTTTTAATCATTGTTTTACCTCAAAATAAAACAATGATAATATACTATAAAAATGTTAAATTTATATATAATAAACTATTATTAATTATGTACACAGTGTATATATAGTTGGCCATAGTAACAAAAACTTATCATAACAATATGATAATAAAAAGCTAAAGTATTATATTAATTATTTCGAACATTTAAGAAACAGTAATATTTTCCAGGGTTTTGTTTCTTTAACGTAAAAGCATTTTTAATCTTTAAGCATCTTTAAGCAACTTTAGCAAAATTATATACTTTTTTTCTTGTTCTTAGTTGACATATAATTACATGTATTAGAAATAGTCTTACATCCCCTATATGCATAGATCCGTGACCAGTCCAATTTGAATTATCAGATTAAAGGATACAATAAGATTTTCACTACAACATAGTTGTTACCAAAATAGCACATGTCAATTTTTGTGGGTAAGTTTATTGTTATTCAAATGAAAGGTCAGAGTAATGACGATTGTTTTTTTCTCCTCATTTCTTGTAGATTTTATGCTCCGGCCATTGAAATGGATTTTCATGAGGTGGATAAACTAAGTGCATAATGGGGATGACGAATGATGAAGCATAATTATGTCCAAGAACGGCTTTTACTTTGTCATTAATATGTCTCGGGTCAGAAATTACCAGTCTCTTTGTATCTACCTTTTTCTGTTCAAATTGGGTTATTCCGGTGTTAATTAAATCAATTTGTTCGAATAGAAACGCAGAGCTTAACATCACAAATAACAAATTGAAGGTAAAAATAAACATAATGTTTGCTGTTGTAAAGTCTCCATAGCCGAAACATGCACGTAGTAATGCAAACGGCGCAAATAAATCCCACGCCGATACAAGAAACACGTGCAATAAGTATGGGATAAAATGAGCTGTTGTATAAACCGTACCAAATACCGCCCATACAAGAAACACCACAAAATGTCTCTGATTGTAAAAACCAACACATCTCCTCGTGAAGAAACAATGATGGTCACGTTTTAAGACACAGTTATCACAGAAAGGACAATGATGGCAGCGGGGAGGGGCATTGAGATCGCACTTTGTACACAGATGCCACGACCAATAAGATCTACGCTTTGGTGTGGGCGGAGCTGAAACCGGTCCTGGAATAGTTCCGATTTTCCCTTTTCTAGTTGGTGTATGTTTATCAGCAACGATACCACTTTCTAAATCTGTTTTGGTAGCTCCCTGATTATTTCTGTCATTGAATGTTGAATGTTTAACTTGAGTTTTTAGCGAGTTATCGACTAAATGTATGCATAACCAGTTAGACATCATTTCGAAATATATAGTCGCTAAGAAACACTTTTGACAGAATAATGTCCAGGAGCTGCTATCATAGTAATAAGGCATGATGTAGAAGAAAGAGTGATAAAATACCCCAGTTATGGTATATAAATATATTGGAGCAGCTATTATGTTGATGATCTCTGACTGTAAGTCTGTGTGAGGTCTTGGTGTGAAACATTTTACAATCCTCTCTTTTAATTTCTCCATAATTACGAATCACTATTTAACTAAATCCGTTACTACGTAAGTAGGGAAACTTTCCTTATACATAAATAAAAGCAACGACAAGCAACGACATAGAGGAAACATTCAGTTTTTTTCATGTGTTTAATAGGTATATAAAACTAGTAATTTAGATAGCCACAAGGTTAAAAGAAATCCAATACTTGGTATAGCTATTAATGTATAGATTTTTAAATTCACCGATTTTATATAAACCATACTAGTTGTTAAGTATTTATTTAGAATATCGGCAAACTTTGTTTGCATTTAGTCTTAAATTTGCATAACTTTTCCTACCAATTTTCACGGCACTTGTCAAAACTTGTTATTGCGAAATTACTTCAAAATTTCAATAATACTAATTCATTGTAAATCGTATTGCCACAGAAATGATGGACTAACACGATTAACATATTAACCAACTGACTTCCACCGCGTTCTTTTTTATGAAAATCACAATTTCCTCTATATAAGTAACGTACGTACAAACATCATGTACTTGTAATTATTTACAAACATTCTGTATTACATTCCGTACTTCTCTTATGCGTTTTATTATTATTATTTTTTATAAATTCATTTATTCTAAAGTTGATTTAGTTTTTATCATTTATTTTTGTGTTCCTTTCAAATGATTTCATGTACTAATATGTATATGATGTACAGTATTGAAAGAAACACATATTGTTTTGTTTGATTGACTTTAAAACTTAAAGATTTTAATAGATGAGTAGACAAAACTGATCAGTCACTTGTCAAACCTCAAAATATGTACATGACCAGTTTATATCTTTATTAACTTCGTCAAATTAGAAGCTAGGAAGCTGAAACCAAGGACCTAGTTTGTCATAAAAATTGTCATTTATAAGGAATGGGTATATTTAAAAAAATCAAAATAACATTCAACCCGCTTACATGAAGAAAATTCGTGAGGGCGTTATAAATATTCATGACTCGGAAGCCATTTGTCAAGTTTGCGACCATTTCGCTCACATGAACCAAGTGTGCAACCTCTTCACATTCTACCCCTTGATCAACCCTAAACATAGTGCGTGGTTAATCACGTTTATACAGGAATGGCGGCGGTCATCTTTCGGACTTGAAATACTTGTAATACTCCAAGGCTATCACTTAAACAAACTCGGTAGAAATCCGGTAGACAGAACAAACTTGGTAGAAGTCCGGTAGACAAAGCTATAAAGCCTTTGTGGTTTCAGATTTTTTTAAGTTTCTACGGAACGTACAAAACAAAATCTAATTACCCCCCCCCCACTCCCCCCGGACAGGACCCATGTTGTTTTTCCTTTTGATTGCCGTGGCAACCAGAGTAAATGCATAGAATGAAATTTTAGGAACGACTTTGACACAGGATCAAAATAGAAAACATTCTTATAAAGTATTGGTGAAATTGACTAAGTAGTTTAGGACAAGATATCCTGTCAAGACAAGTGGACAGACAAATGAGTGACCATGAGCACGTTGTTATCTAAGGTGAGCTAAAACATGTGTGTATGAACATTTCAAGTAATGGTCTAGTAATAAACTTAAGTAACCGTACAACGTTCTCTATTAAAAAATGGGTTAGGGATTTCCATCATTTTTTTAAGAAACGCGAGAAACTTATGCATGTGCGCATACGACATAACGAAAATGGGGAAAAGTCATTACAAATTAAGATGTCATTTTATACTAATCAGGCTATATATAGTTTAGTCCATAATCGAACTGAAACCGCTAGGCCACCTAAATCCATGTATGATTAGCACAAAAAACAAACATTGTCGTATGTTTATGCAGGTAAATCACAAAATAGCACGAAACAACAACCGAGATAGTCATATTGTTTCTCTAAAGTTTTTTTATCTTGGCGCCCTGGTAAAGTTCTCAAAAAGTTACTATAATTAGCTGCCTGAGCAATCTTTTACTTGTGTAGCTTTTTAGCAATTGATAAAGTAACATTCATTTAGACTCTAGTATTTTGTATTGAAGTCAAGGTAATATTTCATTTACATGTTGATACTTTTATGGCAAACAATTTTATATTCAGAACTTCTTTTTTCAGGTGATAAGAACGTAACAAAGCCAACATTTGTCAAACTTTCTTATTTCTGAGGCATTATGTGTCTTATAAATATATTTCTTTTTTTGTATTGTAAAGTTAAAAAAAATACTGTTAATTTTGTAAGAAGAAGCTAGCGGGTTATGTGAGGTTGGCATATAAAACAAGTTAAATAAAGCCATCTCATATGAGCCAACTTCTTAAAAAGTTGGACAAGCTAAGGCCATTAAAAAAAATACGGCCCTTTTTCATCAAACCGCACATGTGACATATACTTTAAAATATGGACAAAATACAGTCGGGTAACCTGTGAAAAAGGATAAAAATAGAGTCCCCCCACTCCACTTAACCTACCCTTAGTAAAAAGGCAATTCAAAATAAAATGATTTGTTCTCTATTATAAACTGAATATCACTTTGTATTATAATGTTATTTATATTTCACCAGTTTGGAGTATTTAGAGAATTGAAGAAGATCCACAATCTGTTGGCTAAAATTTCTTTTAAAAATCATCTTTGAAAAGCTGGAAAGAATGCTCTTGCATGTGGGCTATCAGTCCGAGTTGCAAAATCTTATTAGTCAGTCAAACTTGTCCGATAGATCATTTATTTTGGCAGCAACACCTTATATTTCGACATGATGCATATAATGGTCTCATATGCCTCCGGTGCATCAAATTAGTAAATATCACACATCATATTTAGTATCATTCAGTGAATTACACTATTCAAAATGTAAAGGTCAATTTTTGACAGGTAATAACCTTTGATTTAAACATATTCTTTTAAGCTTTATTGCGAAATAAGTTCTTGCTACTTATATTAATCACTTTCGAGTCCGCTTCATGGAACCAACCAGTACTCGTGTCAAATGAAGAAACATTGTCGTGACCCGATTAGGGATCGAACCCATGATCCCTGGATTGAGAGGCAGACACCTTAACCACCAAGCTACCACTCCTCATAATATCCTTTAAGGACATGAATGCCTGAAAGGCAGATGTACCCTAACATACATACATACATACATACATACATACATGGTAAAATAATTATCTAAATGAAGACAGTGTTTTAGTCTGTGACTCACTTAACAACTTGGCCCCAATGGTCACTCTAATGTTATGCCTGTGTTTATCAACATTGTGCTATGAAGAATAATTTGATGAAATCATTGACAAACATGAGTAAGGAAGAGATATTTTATTCTACAAAGGAAAGCATTATTAGAAATACATACATGTATACAAGTTATAAGAATGTAATTTTTGCTGGAATGTAATATCTTTATGCAAAGCATATATTTCTTCTTTTCTGTATCAAAAATCTACAATCATTGTCAATTACATATGATCAAATATTTGAGCAGCTTCACAGGTTTTTTCCCCTAATTATTTCAAGTATTAAAATACCACAGGGTCTCTCTATTTATTTTTCCTCTAAAATAAAGAAAATGTGTTAATTAATGTGTTTATTACACAAGAATCAGATAATTTATTTATGTTGTTAGTTTCACTGCTGTTATTTGTCCTTTTGAACAATCAATAAAAGTCAAATAAAAACTACATTTAACTGCATTAAAAACACATTCATACATCAACTTGGATACTAATGTCAGTTTGATTTACTATTTTATGAAAATGTATTCTTAATTCTCATTAATCTGGAGGTATATTTGTATAGATATAGAATTTGCTAGAATTCATTCTTATGAGAAACTTGCCTTACATAGTTTTATATTTATTTTGTTGTACATTTCTTTTTCTTGATTTATGAACCATTTATAATCTCTGACAGATCGTTGTTTAACGTGTACAGATATAACTACAGCCCTTGTATATGAAAACTTCAGTACAAAACTTGAAAATGCTGCCAGCAGCCAATAAAAAACAAAACATACTGTGTAAGAGAACAGCCACAGAATATTTCAATGTATCATATATACAATATAAATGTTCAACATACATAATACATAAATATTAAACTAGAGGTAACAACTTTATAAAGAAAAATAAAAGAAAGATTATGGTAAAATGTTAATAAAGAAAGGTAAAAACTAAAAATAAAATCTATAACTATAACACATGTAATTAAAGTGACATTATGCCATTCCAAGTGTGAACAGTGAGTGAACAGGTAAAAGTTAAAATAAGTTCACATTTTACAGTAATTCCTTTCAATTTAAAATTAACTTTGTATTAACAAATTGGCCAAAAGGCAATTTGTACAAATATCAGAACCTTGAAGTTTGATTTATAAAAAGAGTGGGACAGTGTTTTGTATTTTAGGCAGATTTATATTCTATTGTAAACATTTTCTTAGATCAACTGTTGGTCAATCACCATTATAATAGTCAATATTTTAAAATATATGGCCATTCAGCTCAACTTGACAATGAAGCAAATGAGCATAATGTCACTTTAAGTATGTCTGTAATTTTTATATTATTAAACAAAACATTTACATCTAGGTTATAAATTTAAAATTAAGTTACCTAAAATCTTAAGAAACTGTTTAATCTTCTATCTTTTGAAAATAACTTTGCATTTTGAAATTTTCCAAGAAAAAACAACAAAAGAAAAAAACAACAAAAAACAAGAAATTATCAAATCTAATCTTAAACAGATAGAAACACACACTTTTCTCAGTGCTAGATAGTAAAATAAAAGCGACATGCAAAAGGGTGAATAATTTTGCAACATGCTTACCAGACTTATCTGCCCTTGATAGTTAACAAATATTTCAAGTTTGAAGTGAATGCCTTCAAAAGTTTTTGATTGAAAAAAGAGGCAAATATTTTAGCATTATCTGCCCTTCTGAAATGCTGTTGTATTTTGATAGTAAACATGTAAATCAAGCTTGAAGTGAATTACCTATGTGAAAATGGACATTTACAACAAAAATAAACAGCGCTTAAAATCTAAGTTGAAAAAAGGGGCTAAAGTTTGCAAAAAAAATTACTTAGGGTTATCTGCACTTTTGAAATGGTGTCCTTTTATGACAATAAGCATGTAGATCAAAGTTTGAAGTGGATAGCTTTTATAGTTTCTGAGAAAATGGACCTTAACCAAAAGGTTAACCAACGCCTATGCTGACAAGAGGGTCATGACAAGAGCTCCCCTTTTTTTTATAAGAGGAGCTAAAAATAAATGCGTTTATCTTGAATTGCACACAAATAAACAAAGAACAAATCTAAATAAAATAACAAACATCTGGACAGAGTACTTTCAAATAATGAGAAATTGCTCGAATAAGAAATCAAACCATCATATATCAAGTTATTTTACATGTAAATTTAAGATAATAAAATTTCAGGCAAATCTTTAACAATGTTGTTGACTAATTTTTAATGTTAATTTAATGCAAAATTAGTCTTTAAAAAACTACATATTATTTTTACATTAATAAATTTCATGTAACTAAATATCAGTTAAAAATTCAAAATTTAAAGTTTTAGTAACTGTTAGTAAAATTCTTAAATCATTCCAAAAAATGGATTTTGTCCTCGATTAAAGTGTATACATATATAAATTATATAAAAAAATAAATTAAAAATATCTAACAAAGAAGAACATTTCAGTATAGGTACTTTCAATTGTATATTTAGGTAACTTTTGATCATTTTCTAGCCTGCTGGACCAATTCCAATATTGTATCTAGTAAATAAATTGACTTTACTATTTTAAATATTATAGAAAAAGAAAGAGGCATTTGATTATAGACTGCCAATAAAATACATAACAATTAAAACTTAACAATAATATTGGGATTCAGCTGCAGGCTAAATTAAGTTTGATTAATACAATTATGATTGTCAATAAAAAAAGTCATATCTTAAATTTAAATTAATTATGAATAAAGCTTTAAAATCACATTCCTTGCTTTTAAATTTTAAACAAAAATACTTAAAATGTATAAAAATTCACAGTACACTCAGGGATAGAATATTTTATGTTATACATACATATACCATACAAATAATTAAGTAGCAGATTTTTTGAGAAATTTATGGTAAAATTTTCACCTTTTCATTGCGAAATAAACAAAATGCTGTTGCTATATAAAAATCAAAAGTCATGAAAAGGAACCACATGTAAAGACAGTAAGTATCACAGTCAGTTTCTGAATGTCTTAATTTATCACATCATCTTATATGTCTTAGTTAGTGGTAACTTTGTAATGATAGCCCTTCTGGAAAGAATTTACCACATCTTTTTCTTTGGAATGGAGGAAGAGCCACTGCTTGAAGCTGAAGATGATGGTCTCTCATTGTCACGGAAACCACTTGCTGTGGTCACAGTTTCCCTTCCGTTCACCTGATGATATATAAGAATTATTCTATAATTTATACACAAGAGTTACTTTGAAATTCAGCATGAAAAAATAAATAGGAACTTTACAAACGAACCAGGAAACTTAAAAATGGGTCAAAATATATTGCTATTTTTGCAATATTTTAAGTCTATTTGTTGTAATGTTACCAGATTTTTCAATACTAGAGGTGTTAACGCTTGTTTGTAAAAGGCAACCACTATCAATAACAAATTTTCAAAACTTTAAAAGGGGCATAACTTCTGGTGGTATTGGTTATTGCCATGATAATCAAGTAATACAAGTTTCAAGTACCTTTGGTTACTAATAATAAGCAATTTTGACAAAATAAATCAAGTTAAAAGGGGGCAAAACCTCAAAAATATAGCTTTCAGAATAATTCCACTTATGTTGTTTTTTCTTTTTTCTTTTTTACAGTGCACTCCTTCTTTCTGTTATTTATTTATATTTTTATATTATACTTTCACTGGAATCTCGCTAGTACTTTCAGAACTATTCTCTGGACAAGCAAAATACAGACCATGTTAAACTAAGTGTGACCTTGACCTTAGTGTTAGGGGTCTGGGATTGCACATGAGCCATTGTCTTAATATGGTGAATATTTGCGCAAACTTATTTCAAATTCTCTAATGAATGGAAAAGTTGTGAACGAACACAAAACAGGCCCTATAAAAGACAATGTTAAGCTCTGACCTACAAGTGTGACCTTGACCTAAGGGAAGGGGCATGACACACATGTTATTATAGTGAGCATTTGTTTCATGTTATTTCAAAATCCCATGATGAATTGTTGAGCCACAGACCGGACAGACAGACAGAGGCCATTTTTAATTCATATATATTTTTCCTTTTGAAAAGACATGGGAAATAAGTATAAAAGCAGGCGCAGATTTAACAAGTAGGGTGTAATGTACACCCGTCATGTGACATTATCATATAACCGAAATACAGGTTGAATATAGCTACTATTTCTTTTTTTTCTTACAGCAAAAATACTAGCTTTATGTATCAGAAACAAGATATTAAGAAACAATTTCTATCAATAATTTCATTTTCTGTCTAAGATATAACTGTTAAACAGTATAGTTCATTCACCTTCCTGTCTCTAAGGCTTGTCTGGGAGCCAAACAGTTTCTCTATCCCTTGAGTTCCTTTAGTCATAGCATCCTTTATCTCCTTGTCCATACCAGGTATAGCCATATCACCAAATACCTGAATAATTAGTTAAGTAAGTCTATTAATGATTCAAAAAAATAGTTTTTAGTACTGAAAAAAGTGAATTCACATCTTACACATAGATTTAATAAATAAACAAGATATATGCATTACTGACTTATTTAGAATTATGTATTATTTACTTATTTAGAGTATTTTATAAGATTCTAACCATACATATGTTTAGTCCAATGTCTTAAATATCTAAGCAACTCAATGACTATACATTATATCCCGATTTGTACCTCAACAACAGCTCCATCTGGAAGACGTAGAAACTGTCTGTAGAGTTGTCGGAGCCCATCAAGATGTACAGTGTGTATAGCTACATGAGTAGTTATCTCCTTGTGTGTCTCTTTACGTCTTTGTTCATCTTCCTCTAGTGTACACTCATTCCATATACTCTCCTCCATCTAAATATTATAACAACATCTATCACCAACAATGTAGTAATGTATAACAACACAATGTAGTACCGAAGTTGTTGTGTTGAGAGGCAAGTTTCATTAAATACATAACACATAGAGAATAAGTCCTATTGGAAATTAACATTACAAAAAAAAGTAAAGAACATCAGATTTATCAGTTGTAGCCACAGATAATTATAAAGTTTACAATCAAAATATCACAGTAAAATTATATTTACATCTTCTTCCTCCCAGACATAGTCAAACACAGCTACTTTCCTTCGTTCACCTTCTTCACCACGCCACGCCTCCGCTCTGTTCACAATGTAATGTAATTCCTGATTAGATAACTCCAGATCATACGGTACGAAGAAATTCTCTTCCTTTCCACGAAGACGCCAGTAAATGTCCAACAGACGACCATTGTTGTGTAACCTTTAAACAACAACATGATCAAAGCACATGAAATATACAGGATACCTTTTATACTTGGTGTCCTACTTTTGTTCTACATAAAACATGAATATAATTTTTCTACATTTCAAAGTACATATCAAAGTACATCGAAAGTTCATATACTATAAATAAACTGTTACAATTAATAATAGAAAGCCTAGATATTTGAAGGGAAAATTTAATCACTGACTACAACATAGCCCTTTTAACTTTACATAGAAGTAAATAAAAATTACCTAAGGAAGTACATGTAGACGAAAGCTCCTGTCACAAACATAAAACCTAGGTACAGAAAGGCTGTTACAAAAACCCCACCCAGTCCTGAACCTTCAACACGGTAGAAATGGTACCAGAGTTTGACAAAGTCAGCGGTCGGAGTGGCACTATCATCTTCATAACGCTGTTACAAAAATAAAATAACATTTTTTTACATAGTATGACTTTTGTAATAGCGATAATCAATCTTTGTACAGAGTGATAACTTTGTATAGCACAATAATAATAGGCACAACATAAATGCTTCATTTATCATTTCAGTTTTTTTTATTTTGCATCAAATGGAAAATAAGTTGAACAATACATGGTTAATCCTTACAAGCAAAAATATACAATCATAACCATGGGAAATGATGTGACATGTCAATACTTAATCTTCTCTATAATATTTTGCTAAAACAGGATAGCACAAGGTTTCAATATTCCAATATAATCCAGCCTAGTATAATCCATGAGTTAAATGTTTTAGATCTAGGTATTTATATGGTGACAAGCTGACTACTAACAGTATTCAGTACATTTTACAAGAAATTTTGTGATTACAACAATATGATTTCCAACTTTTACCATTCTGTTATAGGAAAGTGCAGTATAATATACGCATTAAACCTTAAAGCATTATAGTGACCTCCCAGTCAGATGAAAACACTAAACAGACCTCAGACTTTGGTTTCGGTTTGTTAAATGCTTGCAGGCTGATAGAAAGGTGCTGTGTACTATTTCTTAATTAATTAACCTTATCATATCATTATGACAATACCATATTCTACTCTGTAGTAATATATTTAATTACATGACATAACTGACCATACATGTATATGATACAGATTTTCTACTTGGTCTCATTGTGCATATAATACAAGCAGCAAAATATATGCAGGTATATAATAAAATTTTCTCCATATAAATTACAATTCCAACCTTCAGTATACAGTCCATGGCAAGGGTCAAAATTGGGTCAAGGAATGTCATGATGCCATAGGCCATCACAAACTTGCATCCGAAATCTGGAAAATGGTCGAATATTTTCTGGAAAACTGCACACATGGCAATCAGTAGAATGAAAACCAGAAGATTAAACATTGGTCCAAGGATAACAACAGCAATTTCCTGTTGACTGGAGAGTAAGGTTGGCTGATAATTCAGTTCTACTGTATACGGGAGGAAGTTGAACCTGTCACAAAATAATCATTAAAAATAATCTGTATTAGTCAATATAAACAAAGCATTACTTGTACACTTCTTCCAGTTATAACGCTTACCTCAGTATAATGCTCATAGATCTTGCCTCCCAAAAAAAAACCCATAACATATTTTTTGCTGATTTTAATTTTTTTCATGTAGATTTATAACGCTCCATATCTGCTATAACGCTTGTTCAATGTGACAGTCAAGTATAATGAATAATTGTAATTAGGACACTTATGAGTGCAGAGGGTGTGAAAAGCATGCACAGTTTATGCAAGGGCAATAACTCCACAAATACTGAACAAATCCAAAAGAAAACACTCATTTGCATAACTAAACATGCTGTAAAGTTCCATGACTTCAAGTCAAATACCGGTACTATTTTAGCTTTGCGTGACAGAAGTTGAAAATTGCAAATTAGTCAAGAGCAATAACTTTAACAAAACAGCATTTGTTTAAACACGAAACCCCATGTGCACAACTGCACATGCTGATCAATATTCTAGTAAAGTTAATTGACTTCAGTTTATGCACTTTATAGCTACATGTGACTCAACATTTTGGAACGGACACACGACAGATTAACAAGGGCAAATCTAAATCCCCCCAGAGTGGAGGCATAAAAAGCATGTACAACAAACATGTTTTATCTTTTTGTTTCATTTTACTTACACCACTTACTTACAAAATTTAAAATATTATTAAAGATAAATTATTACATATGATATGAAGTAGTTAAGTTTGTTATAGTAACATTTATCTGACTTACATGTTGATTGGAATATTGATAGAGCTCAGAAAGAACCACTGGCCCATGTAATGTACAAATACCCTCAGAAAGAACACCATTGTCAGCATGAACATCATACCCCAGAATTCACGACCACGCCACTGTGCTATACCCAGTTCAGACATAAACTGACGTGCCACATATTCCATTTTCTCATACGCTTTACGCTGTGGACGACCCATACCAGCCAATGGATCTCTAAAATCATCACAACATAATTTTATATATATTTGTTATAGTTTACTTTTATTAATATTTTATGTGTTCCTTCCAAGATTACCTGGAGAATTATATAAATGACTGGTAAAAAAACATACTGAATCTCTGTGTGGGCACAATTACTATTTTTAACATTTTGTCTTGTTTATGTTGTTTATGCTATCATATTTTCAAGTTGTAAATAACAGTAATCTAAGATGTATGCATCTATCTAAATTTTAGTGATCTCAATGACCCCATGTAAAGTGCCCTGGAAAGTGCCCAAGAAATTATGGCACTTATGATTAAAGGAACCTCCAAGTCAGCCTCAAACAATCAAAAGGGCTAACTGGTTCAACTTTTTTTTTTGTTTATGCTGTGAAAAATTGTCAATTACTGTTTAAATAATATAAAAATCTTATACTGGATGCCGGTACAGACCGGAATATCTAGCTCGAGGGTTACTGTTTACAGCTGTAACGAGGCTCTGCCGAGTTTTCGCTAAACAGTTACCCTAGAGATAGGTATTCCGGTCTGTACCAGCAGCCAGTGTTTGATTCTTTTTCTTGCATGTTACATATCAATTATTTTCTATTGAATGCCGGTACAGGAAATTACAAAAACTGATATTTTCATTACGCCCTTTTTCCTATAGTAGCGTATGAACTTACAACTTCATTCATAACGGTAAAATGACGTCATCCTAAGAACGCAATTCATTCATAAATTGTGCGCGGCAATGACGTCTTACATGGGGGATGTAAGACAGGGTTTTCTAGCACTGGTGTAAACAGTAGATAATCCTGTCTGACATGCAAGAATACAACTTACTGTACAGACATGGTGTGTTTCTCCAGTTCTTCAAGGTGTGTAAGTTTCTTTGCAGTATAGTTAGGCTCAATGATAGCTGTCTTTGGCAGCACAGTGTATAACTTATCATGATATGCATCAACAGGGTTCTTCTCATATTTCTAAATAACAAAACATTTCAAAATTACTAACATCTATTATATTATAAGTTGACTTTAAAACTAATAAAGTATGACATTTAATCTAAACTGGGAATGTCAATTCTTAAACGCCAACCGTATTTCACAATCATGTTCTCCATCATATGTTAATATGAAAAATTTAACTCAGGCAAGCATTAATTAGAGAGAGAAAATGTAGTTTTTTCATTACTGATTTCTTTAGATCTGAGGATGGAGTAAGTAAGAACACTGATATATATCACTTATAAACAGTCAATTGATAACAAATGATCAGATATTGATATATAAACAAACCTTGTAGTACATTCCAGGCATATGTTTGACCTTTTTGAACTCTTCTTCATGTTTTATGGCCTTGACATCTTCTGGTTCACTGTCTTCTGGATCACTGTCTTCCATCAGTAGCAGGTCAAGTTTCTTGTCCTTGTGCATCTTTCTTGAACCATACATTGTTGCCTTGTCGGACTCCTTTACATACAAAAAAAAACAAAAAAACAATAAAAACACTATCAAAATTAATGCTCAATATATCAAAATCTTAAAGTGTTTGATTCTTTTTCTTGCATGTTACATATCAATTATTTTCTATTGAATGCTGGTACAGGAAATTACAAAAACTTATATTTTCATTACGCCCTTTTTCCTATAGATGCTTTGTCAGACTACCCAAAACTTTAAAGAATAAACTTGCACTTTGTCAGACTACTCCAAACTTTAAAGAATAAACTTACACTTTGTCAGACTACTCAAAACTTTAAAGAATAAACTCACACTTTGTCAGACTACTCCAAACTTTAAAGAATAAACTTGCACTTTGTCAGACTACTCCAAACTTTAAAGAATAAACTTGCACTTTGTCAGACTACTCAAAACTTTCAAGAATAAACTCACACTTTGTCAGACTACTCAAAACTTTAAAGAATAAACTTGCACTTTGTCAGACTACTCAAAACTTTAAAGAATAAACTCACACTTTGTCAGACTACTCAAAACTTTAACGAATAAACTTGCACTTTGTCAGACTACTCCAAACTTTAAAGAATTAACTCACACTTTGTCAGACTACTCCAAACTTTAAAGAATAAACTTACACTTTGTCAGACTACTCAAAACTTTAAAGAATAAACTTACACTTTGTCAGACTACTCAAAACTTTAAAGAATAAACTCACACTTTGTCAGACTTCTCCAAACTTTAAAGAATAAACTTGCACTTTGTCAGACTACTCAAAACTTTAAAGAATAAACTCACACTTTGACAGACTACTCAAAACTTTAAAGAATAAACTTGCACTTTGTCAGACTACTCCAAACTTTAAAGAATAAACTTGCACTTTGTAAGACTACTCCAAACTTTAAAGAATAAACTTACACTTTGTCAGACTACTCAAAACTTTAAAGAATAAACTCACACTTTGTCAGACTACTCCAAAACTTTAAAAATAAACTCACACTTTGTCAGACTACTCCAAACTTTAAAGAATTAACTCACACTTTGTCAGACTACTCAAAACTTTAAAGAATAAACTCACACTTTGTCAGACTACTCCAAACTTTAAAGAATAAACTTGCACTTTGTCAGACTACTCCAAACTTTAAAGAATAAACTCACACTTTGTCAGACTACTCCAAACTTTAAAGAATAAACTTACACTTTGTCAGACTACTCCAAACTTTAAAGAATAAACTCACACTTTGTCAGACTACTCAAAACTTTAAAGAATAAACTCACACTTTGTCAGACTACTCAAAACTTTAAAGAATAAACTCACACTTTGTCAGACTACTCAAAACTTTAAAGAATAAACTTGCACTTTGTCAGACTACACAAAACTTTAAAGAATAAACTCACACTTTGTCAGACTACTCAAAACTTTAAAGAATAAACTCACACTTTGTCAGACTACTCAAAACTTTAAAGAATAAACTTGCACTTTGACAGACTACTCAAAACTTTAAAGAATAAACTTGCACTTTGACAGACTACTCAAAACTTTAAAGAATAAACTTGCACTTTGTCAGACTACTGAAAACATTAAAGAATAAACTTACACTTTGTCAGACTACTGAAAACTTTCAAGAATAAACTTGCACTTTGTCAGACTACTCAAAACTTTAAAGAATAAACTTGCACTTTGTCAGACTACTCAAAACTTTAAAGAATAAACTTGCACTTTGTCAGACTACTCAAAACTTTCAAGAATAAACTCACACTTTGTCAGACTACTCAAAACTACTCAAAACTTTCAAGGATAAACTTGCACTTTGTCAGACTACTCAAAACTTTAAAGAATAAACTCACACTTTGTCAGACTACTCAAAACTATAAAGAATAAACTTGTACTTTGTCAGACTACTCAAAACTTTCAAGAATAAACTCACACTTTGTCAGACTACTCAAAACTTTAAAGAATAAACTTGCACTTTGTCAGACTACTCAAAACTTTAAAGAATAAACTTACACTTTGTCAGACTACTCCAAACTTTCAAGAATTAACTTGCACTTTGTCAGACAATACAAAACTTTAAAGAATAAACTTACACTTTGTCAGACTACTCAAAACTTTAAAGAATAAACTTGCACTTTGTCAGACTACTCAAAACTTTAAAGAATAAACTTGCACTTTGTCAGACTACTCAAAACTTTAAAGAATAAACTCACACTTTGTCAGACTACTCAAAACTTTAAAGAATAAACTTGCACTTTGTCAGACTACTCAAAACTTTTAAGAATAAACTAACACTTTGTTAGACTACTCAAAACTTTCAAGAATAAACTTGCACTTAAAATTGTCAGACTACTCAAAACTTTCAAAAATAAACTCACACTTTGTCAGACTACTCAAAACTTTAAAGAATAAACTTGCACTTTGTCAGACTACTCAAAACTTTAAAGAATTAACTCACACTTTGTCAGACTACTCCAAACTTTAAAGAATAAACTAACACTTTGTCAGACTACTCAAAACTTTCGAGAATAAACTCACACTTTGTCAGACTACTCAAAACTTTAAAGAATAAACTTGCACTTTGTCAGACTACTCAAAACTTTAAAGAATAAACTTGCACTTTGTCAGACTACTCAAAACTTTAAAGAATAAACTCACACTTTGTCAGACTACTCAAAACTTTAAAGAATAAACTTACACTTTGTCAGACTTCTCAAAACTTTTAAAAATAAACTAACATTTTTTCAGATTACTAAACAAACACAAATAAAACTAACACTTTGTTAGATAAAAACTAAGGCATTGTCAGCAGGCATAGATCCAGAAATAGGCTGATTTCATAACTATGCAAACAAAAATTCTAATATTTACAGATCACATAAACCGCAGCGCAGGAGTGTAATAAAGCCATTTAATAAAAACGATATTACACTAGTGTAATAACAATTTTATGTGACGTCATGTGAGCTATATAGAAACAAAGCGTTATAGCGAGCTAATGTTAGCGTTCCACTATGGGCACGTCATTGAAAAAATACTAATATTAAAAGTTTACTGTTCATATTTTATATATGTTATAAATAGAATATTATATTCGTGTAGATTCAATACTAAATTTATTGAACGAGTTGTATAAAACAATATTATGCTCGCCAGAGGCTCCCATAATATGATTTTATTCAACTCTGAGCGTCATTGAAAAAATACTAATTTTAACAGTTTACTGTTCATATTTTATATATGTGATAATAGAATATTATATTCGTGTAGATTCAATACTAAATTTATTCAACGAGTTGAATAAAACAATATTGTGCTCGCCAGAGGCTCACATAATATGATTTTATTCAACTTGTTCAATAAATTTAGTATTAAACTACACTCATTCAATATCCTCTATATATTAGGCAGCTGTAATCTGAGATAATATATACTGATATCAGTAATCTAATCTAGCGAGGGAATCTTATCCTTAACTAACTTACACAGTATCATACAGAAGCTTGAAGATCTTCACCAATCCAACAATAAGTTATTAACAGGGTCTCCATGACCCCAAGTATAATTAATATCACACATTAAAACAATTTACCTAAAGGCATGCAGCGTTTGTGTTTGACTGCCTGTGTTACGACAGGGTGCTCAGCAGGGATACAAGCTTTTATTAAAAAGGATTTTGTGTTCTACATACTAGTATATGCTGTATTTTGAGCTTTTATGTCAAAAAACCCCATAATTCAGAATATATTTTGGGACTTTCATCCCATAAAGTCCACCAACCACAACCCCACTCCTGCCCTCATCTATATATCCATGCCTTGTCAGATTACTCCAAAATTACAAATAAAAGCCAATGCATTGCCCGAATTTCAATTTATATCAAATTTTGTGCCATCTAATATATATCTTATATCATTTATGGTTCAACATCAAACATACTAACAGATAGACTGCAATAAATACTGTTAATAGATAATCTCAAAATACCTACCCTATATCAAATTTTTTTAATCAAAACAAAACAAACATAAAAAGCATCAACTGAATATAAACATCTTTTGCTTATGTTTATAAATTTATTTAAACAAGTATAAAATGCACTTAATGATATATTAGAAACTTTATTTTTCCCACAAAAAGGAAATGAATTTCAAATATTTAGATACAAGAGCAATCAGTGATCACATGTGTCGCCTGATGACACAGCCAATTAAGCAGTTGTATTGAGAGTATAAGAGAAAAAGTCTGGACATAACTTTAGTATTGTTTAGTGTTGTTATTTTTTTCTGTTCTGTTGGATCACTGATTTCTAGCAATTTCATGTTGAAGAATGATTACCACTCAAGCTGTTGCTAGGCGGACTATGAGAGGATTATCTCTCATGAACAGATTCAATCAAACCAAATCAAATCATCCCTTTTCTAGATTGTTAAAACAAAAAAAATAAAAAATTAAAGGCCCATAATGCCTTTTGTATTCAAGGGCCATAACTCAGCCAAAACTCCTTAAACCAGAAAACCCGTGTAATACGATATGTAATTGAGGTACCAATCCATAAAGTTTCATTCAAATTGTATAAGTAGTATGAGAGACAACTTTTAAAAATAAAAATCGTTAAAGGGCCATAACTCTGACAAAAATCAATGAACTAGAAAATGCCGACAAACTACTTGGTATTGATCATTCCTGTAGAGTTTGGATAAAATTGCATCAGTACTGGACAAGTTTTGCAATAGAAGGACAGACAGACATTCTAACAAGACAGTACTTATGTGACTACTTGTCTTCACTGTTCTCCCTATTGTTCTTTTTAGCCATATAAAGGAAAATAGCCACATAAAATCTTACAGAATTAATGACATCCAAGAGAGTACAGTTACTTATTTATCCTTTAGCCATGCAAGTATTCAATAATTGTTAGCTCGGACAGACTGATGACAGAGAAGTGATCCCTATAATTATGTTGTTGCTACTCTATAGCAGGTGACACAAAAATTCCTAAAATTAAAGGATTTTTTTCAAAGAAAATATTGTAATCATATTTAATAAACACAGCAGTTCATAACAATCACAAGATCAATTACAACCCTACCTTTATCCCTAGATGCTGTAAATGAGTCATTACCCATTTATTATACAATATCATACATACACGTAATACATTTCACTTTTTGGTAATTACTTTAGTAAAACAAAGATAACACAAAAAGTTGAATCCTCATAAAAACTAAAAAAAATAACTCTCATTAAAGACAATTTTTCAAAACTAAAGGAAAAGTTCCAGCCTAATATTTATCACAGATAAAGATACACCCTTATCATATGAAAAATAAGGGACTCGAAAAATAAAGATTTTTTTTCAATATTGATTATTTCTCAATGTATCCATGGTAACTATACTGACCTCTAGTTTGACCTTAGACACAGTAGCTGTGGTGCGTGAAGTAGGCATGTTATAACCAGGAGGCTCAGAACTTTGAAGACTAGACCTTGATCCCCTGAAACATAATAAATATAAATAAATGCTGTCAGTTTTCAACAATGTTTGTCAGAACATAAACTGTGAAATAAAATATATTTAAATCAGTCCAGGGTTTAGACATGTTTTATGTTGAAAGGTGAGAGGAAAGAAATAGTAAGACAATATCCTTCACAATTTTGCCAGAGAGACACAACATTTTATCAACAAAAATAACACTCAAGGCAAATGAATGTTTTACCCCAGAACCTGCACATTTGTTAATGTATCTCAATGCACATCAGTCAATAAATAAGGGCAGTAATAGCAAAAATGTAAAAACCTGATATAAATTTATACACCTTACAATATTCCAACACACTAAAGTGATATTTTTTGTAACAAATATTTTGATTGTTTTTAAAAAAATATACAACAGCTTCTTTTTCATCATACTTCCAGTTGGAAAACAAACAAAAAATCAAAAGAAAATATCACTTGATAAAAGTCTTTGGTAAAAAATCAAAATAGATTTTGACTGTTATTGATCATCCTCATAGTTAAATAAAAGTTTGAAATTTGAAAAATGTTTCTATTACAGAAATACACAAATTCTTAAGTGATATTAATTTTATCATAAGGGTACTCTTGACAATATATATAACTTATAAGACAGTGTCCATTTTTCTCCGGCCTTATATACTCTGAATATTAGTTATGGGAAACTAAATAAACTACAATGTTAAACTGACACAAACATGTCACATTAATACCAACTCTACTTACATCTCACTATTGATATCACTCTGGGAGCCAAGTATTGGGGCCTCACCATCTCTATACTCATCACCCCCTGTACGCCTTCTGTCAGGGTAGGCTGTCATAGCTGAGGAGAATTCTAATTCTACTTCATACTCCTTCATGCCTGCCAAATACCTGAATATACACGAGAAATATAGAGTTATATACCGTGTGTCAGAGACTCCACCCATTTAGCTCAATAAGGAGAGCATCAGATTAGTATTCTAGGGATTGCTGGTTCACTCTACAGGCAAGGTAAAATTTCTCCATAACAATACATCTCGGACATTGAGTTTAATGGTCATTTGTCTCCCATTGCTAATTTAGAAAATCATGTTGGTTAAGTAGATGGTCACTTGCGGAAAAATTGGTAAATACTGGTTAGTCATCCAGGTAAGCTGGTGAGATGGTTTCACCACTGAGGTATGACCAAAAGATGTTTAAAATGGGAGTAAAAAACAAACAGTAGTCATGAACTGTGTACTGAACACTTTCACTTTCAAATCAACCTTGTTAAAAAATTTTTTTATAAAGAAATCATTAACTTTGCAAAACATTAATTTTACTATCGTTATCTCAACATTGCTTTTCTTGATTTCTCATTTTCTCAATCAAATTTTAAAAGGCACGATTTTTTTCTTCTTTATCTACAAATGTATATAAAATATATTTGTCAAGTCAAGATTTCTGCACAATGAATAACTCATAAAGTAATTAGGTAAAAGCCATAAGATACATCATACACAGTTTATCTGACAAAGATAAATAGGTATGTAGATGCCTGATGTAAGAAGAATCTGTCATTTATTTATCTTGATTTTTCATTATATCAACTTTTTCTGACGGTCTTTGAGATGAAAACAGTTGACACAATAAAAAGGTTATGGTAAACTATCACCTTGGTAACTTGACAATTTCCAGATAAAGGTTACACAACCAGTGGTCAAGTTCACCAGATATGAGTTGTTCTATCATCTCATGTTTTTCTATTTGAGGGTCCATCTCTCCACGAAGGAAAGGAACTCTGTATCTGTAAAAAAAAATTTTTATCTAAACATTTAGAAAAAAAGCAGTTTTCTTTTCACTTCAGCAAAATATTCAAAATTTCAAAATCTATTCCTGTATTACTATTCTACTTAAAAGCAGTGGTTAAGTATAAAAATCTACAGCTTAACTAAATGAACAACCATTTGTCAGTCAAGGATAACATGTATTTCAGTTTAAATAAATGACTGGAAATTCAATAAATCATTGTGTTTAATATAAAACAATCAATAGTTAAAGCCTGTATCTAGTAACTTACTTTCCCTCAATAACTTCAAACTGGGCATCACAAACTGGGGCACAACCCCAGGCAACCACCTTGTCAGTGGACACTACAGAACCCCTTAACAGATACAACTCAAACACCACAACCATTCCTGGCTTCAGGGATGCCTTTGATGGTAAAACTGTAAACATGCACTGGTCAAACTGAAAACACAACCAAACAAGTAGTAAATGTATATTGATCACTAAGCAAGCCACAGGTAGTAAACAAAATATCTTTAATTGATCTTAAGTATTGCCAATAATATTTAGTTGGAAGTGGACACATAGATTTACCAAACAAATAATAAATGGTACCATTTCATGTGTCTTACTTATTACTGACTGAGAGCAATCTTTTAATATCTGTGTTCTAGAAAAATTAACTTTACTAAATCTTCACTAAAAGTGATTCATATCCTCATCAACCACTTTACCTTTTTGAAAAATATGCTGACAAATAAATTTAAACTGAACAATTTTATCCTATAATTGAAACAACTTCTAACAAGTACCAACCTTCAGTTCCACATTGTGAAATCCTCCTTCATGATGTACAGGAGCTGTGGCCGCTCCCCAATGCTGTCCCTTCATCTCACTCCAGCGGAGGATATTACCTCCAAGTCTGTCATATAGTGATACCATCATTACATAACGTCCCCCTGAAAATAGTAGACATTTTATCTTCCTAGGTCTATTACTACTTCCATTTTTGTTGTTGTTTATAATATACATTAGAATTTCTGTATTATTTTATGCAATAAAAAAATTAATTACTGAATGTTCGTGTTTGTGTGGATTGCCTGTTTATTGTATTATTTATGAAATTAATGTATTATCTTAATATCCCAAAAATAACTAGAAATGGACAAGGATGCCAATGTCATGTGACATTTATGACACATCCTCTGACCCTCATGAAGACATTAGCCAATTTATACATTGTCTGACTAGTTAAAACATGGGAAATAGGCAATAGCTCACTGGGTCAATAGATCACTAGGACAATAACCCACTAGGACAATAGCCCCCTGGGACAGCAGCTTACAGGACACTGGAAAATAGACCAATGCTCAATTTGGCATAAAGGACAAAAGCCCACTGCTAATTATAATTGGTTCAAAAGAAGTTAAGATACACAAGTTTTAAATTAGTATGAAGGACATATAAATTACATATACGTAATGCAATACATGAGTAATTAGAAATGTGTCCATAGGACACAGATATAACTCTAACAAAACTGAATTTTTCCACATGCGAAAACAACAGGGGTAAAACTTCACATGCTAATCAGTGTTCCTATAAAATTTGTTGATCCTAGCTCAAGCACTTATAGAGGTACAAATGACACAACATTATGTAATGGTTTTAACTAAGTTAAGGGCAATTACTCTACAAATACAGAATAAATATACACATGCTGAGGAACATTTCTGTAAAGTTTCATGACTCCAGGTCAATTATTTCTTGAGCTACCTAAAACTCAAGTTGAAAATTGCAATTATTTACATAGTCAAGGACAAAAGCTCTACAAATAATAAATCCACAAGCAAACCCCCAGGTGCAAAATTACACATGCTGACAAACATTCCTGTAAAGTTTCATGACTCTAGGTCAAATACTTAAGCTACGCACAACACAAATTATGAATTTTTACTGTCAAGGGCAATAACTAACAAAATTGAATTAATCCACAAGAGAAAGCAAATGTGCAACTTCACATACTGATCACCTGTAAAAGTGTGGATAGAGAGACAAGGGCAAATCTAATGCCCTCCTAAAGTGGGGGCATATAAAGGCATAAAAACACATAAACATGAAGAGGAAGACTTACTAGGAAGTTTATCTTTCACACCACGTAAACATTTCAACTTTACTTGAACAGGCTGTGGTGTCAAGTTCCAGTCTACTTTCCACCTTCGACCTCTTGTCCCACCATACTGCACTTCAGTCATCATCAAGTCACCAAAAAATGACTGAAAAAATATTAAAAGTTTGATTGTTACTTATATTTTTTTTTCAAGCAAAAGCAAATACTTAAGTTATTAACATAATGAAATATGAAGACTTTGTGATACATACTTTTCAAGATAATCAGCGGAAACCAATTTGACATTTAAGGTCCCTGTGACCTTGACCTTTGACCTAGTGACCCCAAAATCAATAGGGGTCATCTACTAGTTATGACCAATCACTATGTGAAATATGAAGACTTTGTGATAAATACTTTTCAAGATAATCAGCGGAAACCATGTGGTCTACTGACGGACCGACAGACAGACCGACATTAGCAAAACAATATACCCCCTCTTCTTCGAAGGGGGGCATAAAAATACAAATAACATACATGAGATAGTTATGGATATTGACAAAAGAATCTGTTATGGTCACAATGGCCTTATTTCAATCAAAGTCCAAGCCAGAGTTATGTGTCTTGAAAATTGACCTTGATTTGTAATTCAAAAAGCATGAATCAAGTTTCAAGTGCATACAATTGGTAATTGCTTTTAAAGATAAATGATGCAAGCAAAATATGAACCATAACTTTTCTAACTCTGGTTATGATCCTGGCCCCGTGTTCACAAAGAAAAGATCAGGATCAGGATCAAGTGATCCTGATTTTATTTTCATTGTTTTATGTTCCTAAAATTTATCATATTTTGCTATAATTAAATGGTACATATTCAAAATGTAAGAAAATGATGATTTACAACGAAACCAACCTAGTTTTGGATAAGCACAGCAAATTACAAAACAAATACAAAAATAATCGGATCAAAATAAGGATCAATTTTAGGATCAAGATCAATATTTGGATCGACTTTAAAATGCGGGTATCTTACAAAAATAACAATAAATTTATTCTAAAATTTCGTAAACATGTTATTTCAAGTCCATTTTTATCAAGTTAACATTAGATATTTAATCTATGAGGATGAGCAAGGGAAAAACTATGAGTTTTTTAATTTGATCCTGATCTTGATCCTGATCCTTAAATCTTTGTGAACACGGGGCCTGATGACATGTATTGTGTTTCAAGTGATAGCTTAAGTATTTTTTAAGATTTATGTTGCATGCAAAACCTTATCAATGATTTTTTTTAAGTTCAAAAAGGGCTTTTAGTCAATATCCATGCTAGAGTTATGACCTTTGAAAGGTGACCTAAAGTCTTCAGTAATTTTAGAGATTTATGTTGCATGCAAAACATTAACCAAAATTTTTCTAAGATCAAAGAAGCACCATAATTCTGTCATAATCCCTGCTAGAGTTATGGACCTTGGATAGTTACCTACTATTATGCTCAGAAATAAGTGTGTGAATAACACACTTATTTCAAACATACAAACAAATATCATTATTGGTTGATGATGCTGAATGCAAATATTTTAACGAAGTGTTACACAGATGCCAATGATGATGCCTTGGTAAGTAGGACACCCCTACTTTTCTTCATAAAGTCAAATATTTTTATATTATCTCTCTTTGCCAAAATACTTTGGGAATAAGTTTGTTTTACAGCAGACTAAATTATATACAAATTTATTACCTTAACTTCACCCTTCCTTCGTTCAAGTACACTGATAAGCTGACTTTCAGCACGGCGAAATGATTGATGTAATCTTTCCATCAATAACTTCTCCCTCTGTCGTATCATCTCCTACAATATCAGCAAAATATTTCATGACATTCTACATAATGCTGTATTCATATAAACACATGATTTTATAATTGTATTTACAATAAAATATTGATATAACAACACAGGTATGACTACAAGAATAGTATACTCCTACCTTTCAAATGGCAAATTCTTAGTTATAATGTCATTCTATAGAATAAATACAATAATACTTAAAAATATATACCAGTATGAATTAGACAACTTTATATATAGAATATCTCAATAAATATTTCTTATATTTTCATGGTATCTTTACCTGTAACTTGCTTTGTCCTACAAATAATTGAAGACTTACAAGAAAAATATTTTTGATCAAAAGGATAGACGTGAAACACAAATAAATCATATCTAAAACAGTGATCAAATAAGCAAATTAAAATGTGAACAATGATTTAATCAAAGATTCCTTGTGCAGTTATCACATTCTAATAACATGTCATTGGAACTCTTTTGAAAATGTATACTACCATTTACTGTAATAATACTTATTAAATCTCATGATACTCATTCAGGATACTATTGTCAAAGTCAAGAATTTTACATCTAGTTTTTAATTTCCTACAATTTTCCTCGCAAAAATTGCCACCATTTTCCAAGGTTTGTGACATGTTCAACAAGATACTAATGTGCAGATTCGAGAATCATTGATTCAAGGTGCTTGAACTGGTTTTCTTACATCACATGACTTTTTGAAACCATTAGCATGACATCTATTCAGTATGATATAACAAGTCACTGGCTCACACTTATTCAGAACCTATGATTCTAAAATGTTTTCCAAGTGCAAGGGTAATATCTTATAGTTAATGGGGCTTTATTTTAGACTATTAGTACTGTTAAGATGTAAGGTATAGGATTTTTGTCATCTGAGATATGTAGCCCAATATCTTACCACAGAACCATATCTTCTTGCCTGATAAAAGCACATGAATAAAGAACATAGATCATGTAGTTTTTTCCTCTATTTTATCATAAGTAGCACAAGGCTCCAGCACATTACTTTTTCTAAACAAAATTAGAATTGTGTCTAATTTTATCATAATTTCTTCAGTAAAGCAAGGGTTGTGTGCTCCATTTTTATCAGTACTTGAATGATAGTATATTTCTGAAAAAACTGCTTTAAAAAAAAAATAAATAAAAAAAATGTCATTTTTTTCTGAAGAAGACTAAACGTCGAAAGCTTAAGAAAAGCGTTTATTTTGATTGAACTGATTATATGAAAAACTGCATGTCAGAATTATCTTCCTTTGATAGTAAACATGTTACAGTGAAGATATCTGATGGTTTTTGAGAATATTCAAAAAGTGACCTTTAAGGTAGCTGTTAATTGCAAAAGAAGGTAAAAGTCTACACATAAATGCATGCATATATAAAGGTAGAGACACAGCTTTTTGCATGCGACACAATTTTGTGTATAGAACATTTGTACCAAGTTACTCTATAATATCCTTCAATGCATGACAAAGTTACAGTCTAAAAACCTATGTGAACCTTAATCTGTAAGTGTGACCTTGCCCCTTTTAGGTACATGTAGTCACATAGTCCTTAGACGTGACATGCTGTCTTGATGCCAAGTTATTTTAAAATTCTTCAATGCATGACAATGTTAATGTCCAGACAAGAATGTGTACCTATAAGTGTGACCTTCTAAGTAGGGACATGTGTATTAGACGAGACATATCATCATCATGTGGTAGACATTTGTGCAAAGTTATTTTAAATACTTAGTGCATGACTAAGTTACATTCCGGACACGAATGCTAAGAAAGTGGGGAAGCACAGACAGACATTGCGATTTTAATATGCCACCCTCCGGGTGCATAAAAATGACCTTTCAAGGACATTTGACTAAAAGAAATGCCTCCCAATTTTAATAGTGAAACAAGTATTCCAAGTTAAAAGTAAATATCTTCAAAAGTTTTCGAGAAATATTAAGCTTAACAAAATGACTGATATCATTTGTATGTAAGCTTTGGTAACAAAAAGGTATGACAATTGGTACAGACACATACATATTAATACTATAATAAGTAGGTTGTTTATTACCTCCCTCCTCTGAAGATCTTCTCTCCTATCCTGAGTGTATTTAGCCACCCTTTTCTTAGCATCTTCTTCACGTCTAAGTAACTCTTGATGTCGACTCCTCGCCTCATTAGCCTATAAATATATTTATTACATGCTTTTCGGTGGTTAATAGAAATATATCAGTGATATAAAACTGGTAATTTTACTGTTTGAAACAGTGAAATTACCACTTTGATAATTTCACTGTTTTGAATTTAAGCCGCTTATGTTGTTTCAGTGAAATACCAGCGTGCACAGTACTGGGTACCAACTTAATGATGTGACGTCGAAAATGACGTCACGTTGTATTATTATTTGGCGCGCTTTTCATTCAGCATTAGGTTTAATGTCTTTTTAAAACGTTCCTTTGCATGTAATAAAAAGAAAATTTGTTTAGTTCAGTGTAAGATCAAAATATATTTCACCTTGTGAACACCAAAAGTTCATATTTCACTCGTGGCTGCGCCACTCGTGAAATATACCTTTTGGTGCTCACTCGGTGAAATATATTCCGATCTTACACTAAACTAAACAAATATCCTCTATATCATTTGTAATATAGTAATTTATATTGAAGGAACAGACCTCTAGATTGAGGTTATATAATTTATATTGAGGACAGAGACCTCTTGGAAGAAGTATTGCAATTAATATGGTAGACAGAGACTTCTAGTTTCAGGTATTGTAATTTATATTGAAAAAAAGGCATCTCTTATTTGAGTATTGTAATTTATATTGAAGATAAAAACCTCTTGTTCAAGATATTGTATATGTTCATCTCTCAGTTGTTTCTCCTCAGTCTGTACGTCCTCTAATGAAACATTGCCAATCATCAACAGGTCATCACGTACTCCTGCCTCAAAATGATCAAGATACGGACTCATCTCTGATTCTTCCATTTCAAGCTTCAATTCTGAAAAAGGAAAAAGACAGAAATATTCATGATATTAAATTTTTTATCTTTGGGGTACCTTATGATAAAATCAAAGAGAGATAAATTCAACAAACGTTACGTGTGTGCTTTAAAGTAATAAGAACAATGTACTAACATCTTCCACTAATCAGCATAATGTATATACTATTTACAATTTTTACTTTTTATCACTAACCAAGCAAGAAATCTGAATGAAACTCTTCACTATCTATTATATAAAAGAAACATTAAATACACTATAAATAAATATAAATAACATTTCAATGTTCTCAATTAAAAAACAAAAACCAACAAAATAACACATAATTTAGCATACTGGTGATTTTTTGGTATTTTTCAACATGTTCTGGTCTAGTAAACAGTGATGGAGGTTGCTTTTTGTTGCCAAGGTCACCCTCTTCCTTCTCCATTGTCTCAAGGAGTCGATACAAATCTGGTAACGTATTATCAAACTTTGGTGGCTCTGAAACACATACATTACAGGTTTATATTCTTATACAAAATGAAATCTTTCTTTAAATGTGATGGACAATAATAATTATATAAACTGTAAGAATAAAAGATCACATAATTATGGTAACATGTTTACACAGAAAGAAAAGATGTTGAACACTGCAGATGTTTAGTAGCCCATTAAAAGCTCATTTTATATGACTGTTAATAATGAATATAACTGCATACAAAACAGCAATAGCAATCTATTTTTCTATTAGTTTAATATAATGAATTGTGAATTTATTGTGAAATTAGTTAGACAATTACTTTTAGCGTCCCTATTTTTCAGATTAAAAAAATTAGGATAATAAAAGAACATATTGTAAGAATAACCAGAAACCTCAATAAGTCACTAGTTCCATCAAAGTTATGAAAAACCTGCATTGATAGAAAAATAAACACCATTACTTTGATATACATGTTGAGAATGTATTTTGAATTTATCATTTATATAAGTTATATACCATATTTATATTCTTCTTCCACTTGTTGTGTAACATTGACTTCTTCTGTGGTGGTCTCTGTTTTAACAGTCTGAAAGTGAATAAAAAATTGAAACTATCATTTATAGTGTACAATATCGCTGATATATAATAAATACCTAAATGTTAAAATTTATAAATTGCAATGAAATATAATGGTGTTTTTAGTTCACTCCCTATAGCCTTAGTGTAAAAAAAATACAATAATTACTTTATTCTCTATCTTTGCCCTGAATAACCTGCTGAAATACTTAAAATATCCATTTTCCATTTTAGAACTGTCCATTATCAATTCTACGGAAATGAGGATGAAATTGTCCTATCTGTCAACAGTACATAGCCTAGACAGACAACATGGATATGCAGACTGGTCGGACTCTATACTAGTGGCAAAGGCAAATCTCTTTCAGTTCTAGCAGGGTAATGGTCATTCCAGGTCATTAATTTCCTGGATAAATATTTTACATATTAATTAATACCTTGTAAATTATTATTACATAATAAAAAGTTTGATGCATATGTCATATTAATTTTAATCACCTATACCAGGGCATTTTCACCCTATCACTATAGGGACCAAAATAAGGACCTATTCCCAATCCAAAATATCCTCTTAATTTCCCAATTTCCCCCCAAAAAATCCAAACAGTTGCCTAAAAATAAAACTGTTTCATCTTTTGAGAAAAATTGAACTGTTTTGACTTGTTTTTGTAAAAAGGGACAGGTTTCATATACATGTTAAAAACCTAGAGTCTGGTATAAATTTGGAAAAAATATTCTACTTTTTTTGAAATTTGAGAAGTTGAAAAATCTACCATACATACAATCATATGGTATATTTTTCAACTTCTCCAATTTCCAAAAAAAGTAGAAAATTATTTCCCAATTTATGCCAGGGACCTTTTCCCAAATTAGCTGGAAAAGGCCTTGCACATGTTTGTATAATAATACCCTGACCACTTTGTTTCAATAAAAGGTGAAAGGTCATTTAGTCTTTTGTAACACATGTTTTCTAAAATACTAATGTGGGGGTTTTCTATATTAAAACCTTCTTACTGTGGTGACAGTGTTTTTATTGTCACTATCTTCACCAGAGTCTCCTTCTGGCCCCATTCTCTCCCTGCCATGTCCACCTGTTGCCATAGTTATTGTTTCTTGTCTCTAGCAAATCCTGAAAATGAATGTCAATTAATATCTTTTACATGCAAATCCTGAAAATGAATGTCAATATCTTTTACATACTAAGATTTTGTTATATATATTAATAAAATTAAAGTTAGTTGCATTAATGTCAGATGTCTTGAATATGAAATCAAAATGTAATCCCTAGACAAGTGCTTTATCTTTGCAACAAACAAATTATTCCTCCTTTTTAAAAAGTCTGACTTTGAATCACTAAAATAGCATTATCAAGTGATTTTGCCACCAAAAATCAAACACATTCTTCAATTTTCACAGGTGCAATCTATCATGAGGTATGTTTGCAAAATTGCAAAGTTGCAAACAAATGTCAAAAGAAGTAACCTCAGACTGACCTGTGTGTTATATATTTGTAAAACACAGACACATTCATTTGACATACTTTGAAATACATGTCCTGTTCTTCAAGTTAAAATTTCGTAAACAAATGAAAAATGGTTCCACATTTATGTCCAATTTATGGAGTACCAAGTTTCTGATTTTATAAGGATTTTCATACAATGCAAACAGAAGGGAAAAATTTGGACCCTGAAAAATGTCCAGTTTACAGATACTCTGGTTAAGTGGAGATCTGGTTTGCTGGTTTTTACTGTGTAAAGTTCAAATCCATAGTTATAATTCCCCTGATCAGTAAAGTAAATCAGCATGAAGTGGCGGCATGGCCAAGTGGTTAACGCGTCAGACTAGTTATCTAATGATCGCTAGCCGCATGGGTTCAAACACCGTCAGGGACTAGTCATAGTCAAAATATACTGACGTGCCAAATCTTGATTCTGAGATATTTCGTTCTGGGGCAGAATAGTAGAGGCGAGATATTGCCCAGACACGAAAATAGCACAATATCTCGTTGCGCAGTACAATTACATGTAGTTGGACTAGGACTAGTCAGTGTTTCCTTGAGCAAGAAACTTTACATTCATTGCTTATTACTTGTTGGTTCCAGGAACGGATTTGAGTGTGTCTATAAGCTAAAAGCTACACAATCAAACTAAAAATAAATTCTGTATAAACCAAATCAGCACAACATGAAGCTTTATTAAATGACTTCACAATTTCCTTCAAGCTCAGAGGGGCAAATAACTCTAAATAATAAGACTTACATCTCACAAATATTGTCATCATGAACACTGCATATGACATGTTTGAAATAGATCTAAATAAATTATAACTTATAATAGAATCTAGTTATATTCAATACAGTAGTAAAGAGACAAAGATAATGATACTGGAAAAACTTGTTACTGAAATCCTTCACTCTGATCTATCAATATTTATATATACCATACACTAAACATTTAAATATTTATACTACAATAAAGAACAATTATAGGCCTACAAAGAAAATTACTTGGCAAAATGCCACATTCTTGAAAACATTATTGATCAGTATACAGTATAGATATCTTGTAAAAATCTAATTTTGAAATTAAAAAAAAATATGGCACCCTTTTTCCAAAATAGAAAAATTATTTTTTTTTATTCATGTCATGAAGTGATTTTTTTTACAAGAGAATACAATTTAAAACTCGAAATATGTGTTGTAAGTTTTGTTGTTGTTTAAAATAAATGTGTGTGCGTTTTCTTTACCTAGATCATTATCGTTTAAAGATAGTTTGCTTAAAATTCGTGTATTGCTACAACTATGATACTGCTAAAATGTTTTATGCATAAAAGAAGATACTTACAGGAGGAAACCAACTACTTAATCAGTAAAATAAAATACACTTATGGACGCACCTGCCGTCAAATGTCGGCCATTTGTAAACAACTCTTAAGATACGTGACGTCATGACTCAAGGTAGACAACTCCTGCAAAACTACGATGAGGCCCTGATAATGTCCCTGCAACGATTAGAAGATGAATTTTTCAACGCCCTGAAGTTCATTCACAAATTATGAACAAATAGGGCTGTAAAATTTTTGAAAAATTTGTTGGAATATTTTGGTCAATCACGAGATAAATATGCGCCTTTTAAAACTGTTAAGTCCGGAAAGCCTTCTGGGCAGCCTTGGACAAGAAATAAATCTATTGTGAAGGCTTACAGGAAGAAATGATTGCATGGAATCTAGTTTGTTTTCTGATATTTCATGTTCATGAATTTGAAAGTATTGTTGCTTATGATTCATTGTGAAGGAAAGCACATTGAAAATTTTCATGATAATCCAAAGAATTTTTGGAATTATACTCCAGACTTTACTAGATCATCCAGTACCGTCAATGAAATTGAGAAAGATAATGTGAAATAAACTAATGATAAAACTAAAACAGAATTATAAAAAGATTATTTTGTATCTGTATCGACGTACCCTTACTGTAAAATACCTAGATCGGTTTTATTAGATATAGTCTTTTATTTAGGAGTCTGTGAATGTTTTAAAACATGTATAACATTTAGATATTCCACTTAGTTACATTTTTAATTAATCAGTTTGATCGGGACATATACCTCAGGGTGGGAGATTGCAATATTACCATTCTCTTTAAGTTATTTATGAGGAGTATTCATTTTCAGTGAGGTGACATTTTCGATAGGGCATGGGTTCAAACTCCAGAAGATGCAATATCTTTTTTAAAATTATTTGGTATTTGGTCACACCAATTAAGTATTTACTTTTTGCAAACATTCTCTCTCAAACATATACTAGCACAATACACCTACCTAATTTATGTTTAGAACCCCAACAAACCTCCCAACATGAATTAAAGCATTTACATGAATCTGGAAGGCCTTATATTTTTGAATAATATAAGTGACATGCACTTAGTGTACTTATATTAGCTCGTCACAAGTGACATCTTGAAGCACAGGTTTAATGATGCTAGTAATCAAAAGAAAACCAAACAAGTTTTTAACCAGTATTTATTCCAGTTTCTTTTGAATCATGGTCTATTTACCAAATCCATAATATAATGTAGCACACAGCAAAACATAACAATATAACACAGTGTTTTATTATAGAGGTGATATCAAATTAACCTTATTTTCACATAATTATTCTTTAATAAAAAGAGGAATGCATATAGAAATTAAGCTCTTTGTTTTTTAAATAGGGAGCTCAAAACAAGAATTATAACCTTTGAATTAAAAAAACATTCATTGTTAAATAAGATGTAAATGTAACTTTCCTCTTATTGAACCTGCCTGATTTTAGAGGAAAAGTGAGAAATAAATATAACTGACATGGAAGAAACATAACTTCTTAAATTTGACAATATCCCCCATACCGGGTTGTTATGCAAGGACAGGTGTTATTCAATGTTGGGATTTAAGGTTTCAATGTGAGTTGTAAAAATATGCCAGTTCTCGGATATTATTAGTACAAAAGCTAAAATATAATTCTGCAAATCTATATCTACCAAAATCTTATAGAGGCACTGCCTCTTACTTAAGCTATGTTTTTCTATATAAAAATCTCAATAATTCTATCATATTAAAAAAGCACTTCTAGCCTGACAAAAATAACAAATTCAAATGCTGAGAAAATACTTTATAAAAAAATAGGTCTTCTCAATTCAAAAGAAATAGCACATTATTATTTCAGAAAAAAATTGTTCACAAAAAATCACAATGTCAACTTATAGAGTAACACTTCCATCTTTTTTACTAGCATATAAATGCAATTTAACCCCATACTTTCAGCTTTAAACACTGTTGAATAAGTATATTACAAAATGAGTGTTTTTCTTATTCAGTTTATTTGTTGCAAAACATCACAATAACATAAATTCTGTATGTATGTTTACATTAGACACTTTGTTATTTATCTATTCCTCTCCATAGTGTTGTCTCACATTAGCATAGAGGGCGTCACATGTCTTCTTGGCATCTCCTAGCAACATGTTTGTGTTCTCTTTGAAGAAGATAGGGTTGTCAACGGCAGCGTAACCCACACCCAGTGATCTCTTCATGACTACAACCTTTATAAAACAGTTTATTCATAAAGCACAGTCTGAATACAAGTTAACTATAAATCATTTTGGACAGATCCTATATTTTCTCATGTTAAAGTATATGTATCAATATGCACTTATTTTAAACATACAGTTTAACAAGAGGTCTTCTAATCATAAACTCTTGTAATATGATACTGACCTCATCTTTGGACACACATCTTACATTGAGTACACAATTACAAGCCACTGAACCAATTAAAGGTCCAAAAAGCCTTTTAACTTTGTATTGTTAATTATTGACCATATACATGTAGCTGAGCAATTGTTTGCTTCTTTTGAGTTCTTGTAATTAGTATAGCTATAGTGATT